TTCATCCCCAAAACAAACCAAGTGGCTCCTCGCTGGCGCCAAAACCTGAGCAGCTCTCATGTTTTCTCAACATGTCGGGATATGGGGTCCATTAGGTATGTAACTATATGATATGATATATATAGATAGATAGATAGATAGATAGATAGATAGATAAATAGATAAATAGATAGATAGATAAATAGATAGATAGATGGATAGATAGATAGATAGATAAATAGATAGATAGATAGATAGATAGGATAAATAGATAGATAGATAGATGGATAGATAGATGGATAGATAGATAGATAGATAGATAGATAAATAGATAGATAGATGGATAGATAGATAAATAGATAGATAGATAGATAGATGGATAGATAGATAGATAGATGGATAGATAGTTAGATAGATAGATAGATAGATAGATAGATAGATAGATAGATAGATAGATAGATAGATAATTATTGCTATCATTGTTATTATTGTTATTATTGTTATTATTGTTATTATTGTTGTTACTATTATTACTTATATTACAGCATATATAATATACACATCTTTGACCAATGTTTAGTGACTTAGTTCAGTGGAACTTGGACCCCCAAGTATGATTCCCTGGCCAGTTTAGATTCATTTCAGGAAATCTGAAACGGCTACGTGGTTGAACGTACTGGATTGGTGCAAGATCAAATCCTAGCCGAAAACCCTTACTTTTCCAATGAAAGATGGAGGGTTCCAGTTTCAATTCTCCCTTAAACCGATCCATACTAATCTATTGATCAATTCAAACCCATTTAAGAAATACTGTATATATATATATGTACGCACATATATATATATATATGTATGTATATAATATATATATATAATATTGTAATGTGTAATAATTAAAAAAAAACATATCAGTCCATTGATCGAAGCCTTGTTTTCCACCAAACACACGACCCGCCTGAGATTCCGGAGGTCGGTGGCAAGGCTCCTCCACCTGGGATCAGCTAACTCAGCCGCTTGGTGATGCCCAGGATGGGTTTATCAACCAAAAAGTATGGTTTATTGGTATTGAACTAGGAAAAATGGTGTTTGATTGGGATTTAATGGGATATAATTTATATAATGTCCTAGGGTTTGAATCGTTCACCATCCGGTTTCATCAAAATGTCCAGCTGGGAATCGGGAATCAAAAAAAATATATTTTATATGGACACGCGCCTGAACTCCAAAATGAATCGACAATTCCATGCTACCAGGTATATCAGGTACGAGTATTTGTTTCAGGGAGGGCAGTCCAAACATGCGGTTCTGATTAAATCATCCTACAACATACCCATAGGATCCATGTGTGCTATATATGGTAACATTTACCATCAATATAGCCCCTTTATGTTAGTATATATACCAGCACCATGGATCCGTCATGGGATATGTGATGCAGCTAGAACAAACACCACTTGGAAGTCCGGCGGAATCCGCTGGATCCCTCTCGACCCAGTCCAGTGATGCAGCACTTGTCTCACGCCTCGTCATTTTCCTTTTCACCTTCGCGTGGATTCAGCTGCCTTCACGGCACTCGAGGTATTTCTGGAATCATTTGCGCAGGATCCACCTGAAATCACCTGAAATCCGAAACCGAAACGCCAAGGTGCCCCATTTCACATAAAAAGGTCGTTGTGGCTGCTAGGGTTGGTAGGGAATTGGATGTCAATATTTCTGGCCTGAACCGATTCAAATGATCCACATCTTTCCATACTTTCCACAACGAGGCGCTACAAAATCGAGAAACATATCGAGAAATTACGGGTCCTTGCCATCATCATGTGGGTAAAACACTATTTTTTGAAAAAAAAGCACATCCCCCAAATCACCATAAATAGGTTGTATAGTTTATAGGCAATTCCCAAATGGGTGGTTTATCATTGGTTTACCCACATTCAATGAAATAAGTCTGAGATATTCTGGCTCTAGCTGAACAGGATCCTGTAGCCCCAACCGTGGCACGGTTTTCTTGTGCCAAGCTATGGATAATTTTCCCGACAGCGGTTTTTGACCATCGGTACACGGCCGATTGACATGAATTGACCTGATGATACCTGATAGTATTATATTATCGCTATGGGTCAAATACATAACATTTATGTACAGTATATATATATACCAGTCCAGATTTAAGTTTTTGTCGAAATGCCGCGAAAGAGAGGAAAACAACTGAAGAAATCTGTGAAACAACCGCGAATGCAATCTTGCTGTGCACTAACTTTCACAAGGGGTCGCAGCTCCCCGAAGAGAGTTTAAGAGATGGCTTTCGTGTACCTTTCCCTTCCGTCCCACCGACGTGGCGTCATGTGCCCGGGTCGTCCATGGTGTCCTCTTTTGATATTGGCGAAACAGGGTCCAAATGCCCAAAGACATCTCCATGATTCAAAAGTTGAGGCCACTGCACGAAGACTCTGAAATATTGGAAGAAACAAATGCGAACAGAACATGCCATGAAAAACCACTCCAACCCTGTAAATCCAATGTAAATCCCGTAATAATCCCGTGACAAAGAAATGGATACACTCAATCAGTTGTTCAAAATTGACAGCAGTACCTTTTCGGCGACCAAATTTCTCCCCAGGTCTCCTGCTGTATGCGACTGATCTTACAGTGCAGGCATTTTGAATATTCATGAGTTTTTTTTTGGGGGGGTCCTTTAGTATCCTTATGTCATTTTAGTCATTTGGTTCCTATCCATTCCTATCTTACCTCCATAAACATCCATAAACTTGTCATTTGGCCAGCTCATCTCCCCAAAAATATCATGGATGTGGGTCCAAAGCATCAGGACCTGGGTTGACGCCAAGGACTACCTTCCGGTGTCAACATGGCTGGAAGGTAACCCTGAACTCAACGGACACTTCATGACATTTCAATCGGAAAGCCATGGCAAACACATGCAAACACATAGCCATGATCTATTGGGGAAATGGTCAGCTTCTCATGATTTATCATGTGATTTGCCTATATTTACCTGAGATACCCAGCCTCATCACCCACGTTGAAACATTTGGGGCATGTTCCCCACGGACACGGAGCCGGACACCCCAGCGACGGACTCGCTCAGCTGGCATGATCAGTACTTGTTGCGCATGACCCTGAAAATGGAAAGTGATGGAAAGTGCACCATCCTCTGATCCATCATTGAGTTGGAAAATCACGGAAAATCCTAGCTAATGTATGCTAAAGTATGATAGTGATCTTGGATCATGATCAGTAATTGTTGGCCCTGAAAGCTCAAGAGAGGAAGTCTATCTAAGATCTGACAACAAAACAAGCCACCGGCTGACCAAAACCTTTACAGATCGTTGGGCAATGTTGGGCATATACATACATATATATATATTATATATATATATGTATGAATATATATATATATATACAGTATATGTATATTCAGAACCAGTGTGAGTGGCATGTGATATGAGAAATATACCCGGTCAAGGTGAAGTAAGCCATGCATGCTGAAGTAAGACAGGCACTCGGCAGCTTGCAACCTCCAGTTCTATTTGTTCCTCTCATTCTGCATTTTTCCTGCAACTGAAGGTGTAAAACATGCCATAAACATTTCAACATATTTCAACCACTCCAAGCTGTACCCTCTGGTGATTTAACATAGCTATTGAAAATGGCAATTTATAGTGAGTTTTCCCATTAAAAATGGTGATTTTCCATAGTTATGTTAGTTTACCAGGTCTCCAAGCTCCAAGCACTGATCAGTGGCGTTTCTCACTGTTGGAAGCTTCGAGACGATGGCTCTGAAATACACTGAACTCGTACGCCCGCGGTAGCGTCGAGGATCTTGCGGATAGAGAAACGTGTGGGCATCAGCAATGATGGGCTTTTCAACATTAAATTAAAACCGGATTAACATGTAGATTCATATGTAATGAACATGTTTAATGGAAACATGCTACTACCATGAAGTTGGGCTTGAGAATTGATTCGGATTGATTTTGAGACCCTAGTGTCAAGGAGTAGGATACTCCTAAGGATGTAGGGGGCACCAATCATTGCGGATCACAATGAATTTCAAAGCTCGCAGCAGATGGAGTGAGTTTCTGCTGTCTTAGCATGATATTGAAAACCAGAACTTGAAAAACTGCCTGTTTTTTGAAATTTGGTCAGATAATGTTCTGCCCCGGATCTTTTTTTTTGAAAATGATGATTTATTTTTTGTGATTGTTGGGACATATTGGGATTAGTCTCTGAATCAAGAAAGATGTATGGTGATATATATATATATATATACTTAGATGGGGTAATCAACCAATGAAGGGTGAGAGCTTCCAAATCGTCTCCTGGTTCCAATCCTGAAGCAGTCGGACCGGTCTAGTAGCTTGTGCTGGTGAAACGATACACAAATCGAACCACGCCGCTGCTACCCCAAACTCCGCACGGAGGCACGCAAAGTTTGAGAGGGACAATTTAGAGAAACAAAGACGTGACCAACAGTAGATACTGACCCTGCATATGTGTTTTTTTTGGGTTAGGAGGTATATAATATTATTGTATATCCAGTTGCTGTAAATATGGTAAATTATTAGGGTATTAACTAACCCATCAAAGGGTTAATCATGGAGAACAGGACCAATGGCGGAAATCAGTCACACAAATGGGCGTCGATTCAGTGACACAAACATTGTGCAAACCTTTTTCCCGTCCCAAGCAAAATCCTTGGCAAGGTGAAGATAGTATACAAGTATACAATATGTAACCTTCTTTCGGACATGTCTTTCCAATGAGCCAGTTGCATCTGTCAAGGGGCTTCAATTTGAACCCACTTGTGTGTATTTCTGCTAGTAAAATGCATTAAAATGCCAACATTTGGTTGTTGAATCGTATCAAATCTCTGTGTTTGTCAAGTACAATCTGAATGTTTGCCAGTTCGAACCATCAGTGTTTGTTCGCTAAATCCCAGGTACTGCCTCTTATAAATGAACATCTTGATTATTAAGTTCATATTGTTTCCCGTCAAAATTCAATTGCGCTGCTTAACATCAGCATGTATTTCTGTCAAATCACCTGACATGTTCAATATGAACTTGCAACATCAGCACGGCAGGTTCGCTGCTATGGCAGGACCTCTTTGCGACACACTGGGCACCTCAATTTGTCAATCACCAAGCTGGGGCAGGCAGTTCGCTTTGCCGCTTTGCGACCCGAAAGCTTCATTGTTTGTCTTACATAAACCATGGTACCCTCTTTTAATTTAACATAACTATGGAAAATCACAATTTTTAATGGGAAAACTCACTATTTCAATGGCCATTTTCAATAGCAAACTGTTAGTTTACCAGACCAATTTTATGTGGGAAACCCTGGCTGCCATAAACCATCTGCATTTGGCAAATTTGGAGATGGTTTCTACATCCCATAGTGATTTTGGGGGCCCCGGTTGGGTTTGCCACATTGGTTTCTTCATCCCATTCATCCCAATCATCCCATCGCTAGCGTCCAAGTTAAAACCCCTCAAGGACTGGGGATTAAACTTATCTGGTTGGTGGTATACCTACCCCCATCTATAAATGAATGATATGGATGGCTTATAGTGGAAAATACCATCAAAATATGGATGATGACTGGGAAATACTGGTTGGTGGTTGAGCTACTCCTCTGAAAAATATGAGTTCGTCAGTTGGAATGATGACATTCCCAATCTATGGAAGAATAATCCAAATGTTCCAAACCACCAGTTTGTCCCAGTTTGCTGCGCGCGTCACGTTGAGACGACGTGACCCGTCTTGGGTGCACACTAGAGACCTAGGGTAGTAATTGGAACCAAAGTGAAACGTTCACATCTTTGCGCAAATGGTAGCGCATCCAGAGCCTTTGCACCACGACGATACGTGCTTCCTCCGCCCATGCGAAAGAGCCAGTCATCAATCAGCCGTAGGTGAGACTGAGGCCAAGGAACTGCCAAAAGTCCTGTGTGAAACTGCAACATTTGGGACTCGGGGAGTCCATATCCAAACTGCACAGAGATCTCTTGGTGACGGAGGATCTCTTTCAACAACTTGGTAAACCATTTCACACGCTGTTTGAAGGAAAAACCCCTAAGTTGCAGCCAAGGCATCCGGCTCCCATCCTGCCATTTTCCCAGACTGATGGGGCCAGGGTGGCCCGTCGCAAATTGGAAATCGAGGTACAACTGGCAATGGGCAACCCACACCATTGGCCCCCGTACATTCAACAGCGTATGCCAAAACCAACTAGCAATAGTCCGTACCATGTTATCGCCATACCATCTGACTGCACCGGCTGGAATCTGAATAACAGGCAGTGGAACCCAAGGCACAAACGGAGCAGCAGGGACAAGGCTCGCAACGGGCTCCAGTGAAACATCGTCCTCGTGGCGAACAACTTCCTGGCTAATGCGCAACTGGAGGCGCTGCACAACCCTGTTCACTTCTCGTATCCACTTAACCGCACGAACAAGTCTATGGTGCAACTCCCAAAAAACCGGAGTACGACTAAAATTGGCTTGAACCGCGGCAATATCCGCCAACCCATTGTGTCGATAGCACCAAGAGGCAAATGCAGACGGCTCGTCATCAGGATTCTGGTGGGCTGCAACCCGGGTAATGGTTGTGGGGCCCTGGCGTGATCGAAGGCACCTACAAATGACATGCCAAAGGTCAGCATGAGAGCTATTGGCACGTACCACACCACCGTCCAGCAATCGCCTGACTCTCTTAACCACAGCCTCACAGTCTGTCCAAAGGAACAAGGGACCTTTGTGCGCATCAGCTACCTGGAGAGCACGCATAATGGCAAAGATCTCCGCCCTGACCGAGCTTTGAAGCAGGCCAGGCACCGGTCCAGCGTCAACAACTTTGCTGTGAAGGCAATCATCAACACTGTTACATGAGGCTTGAACCACTGCCCACCCAGAAAACCGCAAGCTAATGTCATCCTGCCTAAAACAACTACCATCCGTGAAAAGATGAAGGGCACCCTCACAAGGAATTCGTTGTACCGGCAACACAGGGAGTGAAACAAAATATTGGTTCCACTCAAGGGCAGTGGTAGGTGTCAGGGACCATCCGGAGCAGGTCAAGGCTTCTGGAAGGGAGGGGATGCACTTCCATATATCACTGCCAATGTGTCCTCGGAGAGAAGCAAAACGTTCACACTCCCAGAAACGATGGTAACGGCTGTCGCTGCAAGGGCAGTAAGGGCAAACATCTGATGATGCCTCCTGGCAATGCATCTTACCATCCTGAGTAATGTGGGTACCATTTAAAAGCTTCCGGAACAAGGCACGGTCGGGCACATCCAACATTCGCATCCAAGCACGGGTATCCCCAGTGTCAACCTGACCCAACTCTTGGAAGCAGCGGCGGTGAAGGGTTTGGGCCTCAACCACCAATGGCCAATGCAGCTCAATGCGGAACTTCAATTCAGCCATAGAGATACCAAACAAAGAGAACGATCCAACAAGATCATGAATGTGTCCCCGTGCATCCACATGCCAGCCTAAGCCTTGAAGTCTCATGCACAACGTTTGGGTGATGCTGTTGAGTGGGACATTAGGATCACCCCCCGCGACGTCAGCCAACACTTGCTCAACTCGATCAGGACATCCACAATCACGCGTGAGGCGAAGGGTCTGCAACAAGGCCCACCCCTGAGGGTCTAAGTCAATGGATTCCACAAGACCTAAGTGAACCGCAGGATTCGCTCCGGCTGCATCAGCCCGAAGGCCTCTCATGGCACCAGATCTGAGGGTCGCATACGTAGCTGTGCTGAGTGACGTGGCTGCCACACCATGCAATGCTTTTGGCCATGCCGCGCAGCGAATGGCACGCAACTTCTGGGAGTAACTACACGCCGAAAGCCTCAGCTTCTGCCACATCGGCCCAATGCTTTGCACACGAGCCATCAACACCGAATTGGTATGCTGCCGGCTGATCTAAACGTGGGCTCCTAAGTTTTTGCAATGAGAAACAACTGAAAGTTGTTGGGCACGCAAGGATTGGCGGCCCCTGGCAGAGACAGACCACGTGTGGGACTTTTTCTGGTCAAGCTGAAGATCCAAGGCTTGTGTGAACTCTTCCAGACATCGGAACGTGGCTCCCAACAAGTCTGGGTTAGTAAGCAAAACTTGCCAATCATCCACATACGACAGCGGCTGGCACAATGGAAAATGGTGCGTCATCCAGTGGTGAAACAACACATCAATAACCATCATCCCAACACACGACAAAGCACACCCTTCAGGCAAGCCACAATTACTGTAGGCCGGGGCACTCAAACTACCATTAAGCATGAAGCGGCGTGCCATCAGTGTTAAGGCACCGGCCCACCCTCGCAAAACCTGAAAAGGTATTCCAACAATTGCACAGGCTTCAAGGACCACAGCCCGTGGCAAAAAATTGAATGCTTTTTGAATGTCCACTACTAAGCCGCAGAGAGGAATGTCACATTCATAAGCCTGCTCGATGGACCATAACAGTTGTGACCATACTTGGCCGGCAAAACGACTCGGCCGGCTCCCAAAAAGTCCCAACGGCAAGATGTGTTCAAGGTGCCGGATCGCACGACGTGCATGAAAGGTGCCCCAGCACCGATACAGCAAACCCAGCACCGTAATGGGTCGGAAATCTAACACCCTTTCCGGGTGAGGCACCTTGGCCAAGCAAGAGACACGCCCTGCAACCACTTGGGATGGCCATTCCCCTGATTGTTCCGCATACTTGAACATGTCAATGAAATTTTGGAGTGCCGCTGGTGGGAGTGCTTTCAAATCAGCCAATGTAACCCCATCCAAACCTCCTGAAGTTGAAAGACTTTGTGGGCAATACAGCCCGACAACGTATCAACATCCAATGAGGGCCACTGGAACCTACCAGGAGGGAGAGAACGACGGGCAAAGTCCAATATCTTACACCATCGATCGTGTGGAACCTCCTTGTGACGCTCCCACATGGAACTCCATGTGCTAAGAAACATGTGAGACAAGTCTTCATGGGTTCCTATTTGGGAAAGCTGGGTGATCAAAGACCCCACCTGAACATTGGCAACAGAATCAACCCATAGGCAGTCATGCTCTGCGTGAATAATCTGCAAAACATGCCCATCACACACTACCGGCGCATCATCCCTCAAAGTGACAGGGTGGTCCAGCACAACTGACACTTCTTCGTGACGGACTTCAACAACCCTGGAAGGCGATTGTTGGAGCAGCATATCTACCCCGTTGGGTTGAAAATCTCTGAGGTCTTGAAAGATAGCATTTGGATTACTGTCCCTACGCAATTTTGCAAACAAGCGAGAAGACTTCTGGAGCTCCTGCTCAAACTGGCGTAAGGCAACCTGCATGGAATCAAAAATGGCACAGGCAACAGGGGTTTCTGGAGGCACCCAAGGCAGCTCAGCAGGGGCACCATGTGTACGGGAGTGACAAGTCTTCCACCACTCCACAAATCCAGAGTGAAACCCGGTTGACCGAAGGATGGAACCCCAGAGACAGCAAGCATGGCGGTCAGCATTGGAGTGACACTTGACATACCTAACATAAGTCTGAAGTCTACGGACTTGACGCAACCACTGGGCATGGCGGAAAGAGGCCCCGACAAAATGTGGCTTCAGGTCATTGTGGCGCGCCCTCTTCGGAGGTGGGGCACGCCCATCAACAACAGGCTTAGTCTTAGTCGTTCTGGCACGTCCTTTCGAAACTGCTGCAACAGGAAATGGCAAGGACACTTCCGCTTGGTTTTCGATATGGCTCCAGAGATCACGATATCTATCATCACAGGAACCAACATGTGTCTGCCAAAAGAATGGGTCTACCTGCCATACATCCGGCCAAGGGAACGGCTGAGGAGTTACCCAAATCTGCCTTGGTACGATGGAGCCCATGGAACGGAATTCACCCCACAAAACCGAGTGATCTGGAAAAACATCTGGCAAAACATGAACTGCACAAAGAAGCTGCTGAAGTTCAGGTGAAACATAGCAGAAATCCTTCCTAGTGACACCTTTGCACGTCATGGAAACCGGCTGTCCCCAAAAGGCCAAAGCAAGGTCTTGCAGCTCACGAAAACCGGCACTTTCCAATTGTTCAAACACAGGGAGGGAGTGTTGGTCAACGTTCCAATCCCCTGCCACAAACCGTGGACCTCGGGCGAGGTAGCAAACATGGTTGGCAACATGGTGCAGTAAGGCTTCATTATGAGTCTTTTGCATGGGGTACGACGGGCCCTCAGGCTCACCGTAAACTGTTCCGCCAGTGATCCACACATCCTGGAGCAAGGTAGTTGTTATAGCAATACGTGAAGACTGCAACAACTCAACAGGGACATTAGTGGGGACCAACCGCGTTGGATGCTTAGCCAAAACAGCAACTCCACGCCACGACGTATGGAACTGACGATTGGACTGTGCGGGGACTGGGTGTCCCCCAATGCAACTCCGAAATGGGCTATTGGCAAAATGCAAATTGGATCTGAACTGGGTGAACGATTGAGCACACAAATGGGTCTCAGAGATAGCCCAAATGTCGCCAAACCCTAAATGTGAAACAATGTATGGTGCCTTACCCCGTAACCCCGTGGGATTGAAAACACCGATGGCAAAATTGGGCTGATCAGGCCCAGGATTGGCGGCCTCTCCAACACGGCAACACAGTGCACTGACAACTAGATAAGGCCAAAAACCAGATCTGACGCATCGCAGGGATGCAACATGGCACACAGCCACGCCCCACAAAATTGCCCAAATAGTGAGGCCCAGGGCTTGAAACTGGAAAACCAAGGTGAAAGCACAACAAAGGAACATCCATACAAGCCCCCGGCCAAGGAGTCATTCCAAGCCTTCTTCGCGTGGCCTTTTAGCAAGAAGGCCTCTGATCTGCTGCATTTGCTGCTCGAAAAGAGATTGAATTGTCTGGTTCTGATTCTCCAAGTGACCATGAAGCTGTTGAGACTGGGTCGCAACTTGGCCCTGCAAGGCGGTGATTTGCTGGGTATGCTGCGCACTGTGCTCTTGAAATTGGGCTTCAAGCCCCTGTTGCTTGCCAAGCAATTGCTGGACTTGGCCCTCAAGCGCATGCACTCTATCCGGGAGATCATCTTGCTCCATGGGCTGTTGGATCTTGGAGAGAACCGCCGACTGTATGCGCTCCTCAATTTGTTGGAGCCCTTCAGCGGGGCCGGACACTACATTGGGACCAGGCTGGTACTGCTTCCATGGATCAGAGAACGCCCATGGATCTGTCTCAACTTTGGCAGCCGATTGCTTTTCACACAAAGCCAGGGTAGCAGCTGAGCCAACGGTTGTAGGTGAAACACTGTGGCTGACTGCGTCAGGCTTGATCTTTGAGATCATGATGTCCCCTGATGTAGTCGAGATGATGGACTGAGCTGGATCAATGGTTGATTGAATTAACCACATCACTCCACGGCCTGGGCACGGGGTGGACGGCTGCAACGGACGGCATTCCCACCCTGCCTGAGCTAGAACTTTCCCAACAGCCAATCGATCAGCACCATATGGGAACGGTCCTGCTGAAAACTGGCACTTGGGTCCGCTTGGCAAGTAGATGGTGTCTGGGCGAACCAACTGGTGAAGCCCTTTGGCCTGAGTGGAACGGACCCTAAGGCCGCGTCTGTCCCCTAAGCGCACTAGCCCTGTAACAGCAGGATTCGTCTGCATGAGATGCTGAATTTCTTGATGACTATGCCTAGGGGTCCACACAACGGTATACTCAGGGAGAACTTCCTTGCCATCAGCTGTACGCGGCTCACAATAAGCCCCAGCGGCTCCACTTGCACCAAGGAGGACGTCCAACAAGCATTGCGGAATGCGCAGGCAAACTGAAAAGAACTCGGCCTGGTCAGGTGGGCACGGTTTGAAACCCTGACGAAGGAATTGTCTGCGCCACACATCCAAGATCGGGTCACGAATCGGAAGCTGCTCGGCATTATGCCAGCTAGGGCACTGGCAGTCTTCAATCATGCATCTCTTCAGCTTTGGCAACAGGGAGACCAAACATTTAATTGGCGACTGGCAGAACTCTCCCCATTCAATTCGAAGTTCATCTTTATAGACCAGCACTTTCAGGGTGACAACCTCAGGCGTGTCAACAGCCAACACCGTATAGGACCAATCGACTTCTCGACAAGGCCTTGACCGACTTGGACAAGGACAGCATCTGCTAAGACTGGCTCATTATTGACTGTGCATCGGCATGGGACGGTGACAGGGCCATGAGGCAGGACAGTGCGAACATCAGTACCTTGGGAAGACAGAACCAGCAACGCAAGCGGGTCTTGTGAAACCAATTTCCCTGCACCACCAACCAGTTTTGATCGCGTTTATCACATCAAGTTCTTCCTTTTGTGGCTACGTTGACAAAAGTATTTCATCTACATAGTTCGAAATGAATTTCCTCTGGTAATTCAACATAGCTATTGAAAATTGCCATTTATAGTTGATTTACCCATTAAAAATTGTGATTTTCCATAGTTATATTATATAGTTTGCCAGAGGGTAATTACTGCCCACTTCATCAAAAAAATCAGCACGAGCCTTGCGGACACCCCTGAGGACCCGGACTGAGCAGGCTTCAAGGGCACTGGGACACCTGGTCGAGGATCGGAACAGTAACCCAGTAACCCGCAACAAAGAAAGAATGTGGCTAAGGTCAACTATGGCACTATGGTTTATGGGGAAAATAACTATACCCTCTGTTAAACTAACATAGCTATGGAAAATCACCATTTTTAATGGGTAAATCAACTATAAATGGCCATTTCCAATAGCTACGTTAAATTACCAAAGGGTAGTTCATGGGGTTTATAAACCAACTCATAACTCGGGGGGGGCCATTTACTGGGAGCCTCACTTCCTTTGTCCATGGAATCCCAAGCAACTTGATGCCTGTCACAAAAATCTTGAAACATCTTGAAACTATGGCTCACCTCGGGTGTTTGATCTCAAATTGGGGAACAGCCCGAAATTTCCATTTCGTGGGTCAAAACTGCCAAAGTAAAAATAACATCAGGGTCTTTTGAAGTCCAGGTGTAGATAAATTGAAATAAATGCACAACAACCGCCATCTGGCCGCATGAAAACCCAGCTAGAAAACCTGCCTGCTGCCGGTCGGCACCTGAGTCCACTGGCGCGGTTTCAAGATGTCTCAACTAGTTTTTTGAAGTCCTCTGATCCTGGAAATCTCAGGGTGTTTGGCCCACAGAAATGCCGATTCAAGCAGAAAAACACACATAAAAACATGGCTGGATGGTGCTTTCAAGAATGTTTTTCTAGCAGCAATATACTGAAGTGAGAACCGAAGCAACAAGACTTGGGAATCACCTGATACAACTGGAAGTCATCCCAGCGATGGGCAACAGCTGCCCATATGCGAAAGGAGGATCCCGGAAATTGGCAACGCTACGGCCAATACATTTAAAACAGATGCAATAAGTGCATATAGATGTGTATGTGCATATATATATATACACATATATATATATACATATATGAATATATATATATATATGTGAATGACAAATATACATAGATTATATCCTGTAAACAATGGGGGATCTACAATGGTAAGCTATACCCAAGTTGTGGTTTATTATTGTGCATGCAGCTATTTTGGCAAGTCAGGATGATTCAGTTCACCGATGATTAGGATGAGGTGGGTTGTGGCAGCCGCAAATCCCACGTTGCCACGTTGATCTCTAGATATACACGTCCACACACTCAGAAGTATGATATTTACCATCTGGTTATGACTCACATAGCCATGGAAAATCACCATTTTTAAGTTCGGTAAACCATGGTAAACCATCTATTTCTATGGGCCATCTATACCATGGCTATGTTGAATAACCAGAGGGTACATCACTGAAATGGAATGATAGAATGAAAATCTAGGGCTTGGTGGTTTTAACATGTTTTAAGCCATCCCTAGTTTTTGTTGCTCGTCATTTCAACCAATCATCCCAACTACTATAATTCCTATGGTTAACCAGTTGATCATTTCATATTCCATCCATCTGAGTCAACTAGGAAAGAACATGAGAAAAAACAGCCCGAAATAAGGCTATCTTGGAATATATAGTTCCCCTTGCCACAATTAACCCAGTTTTTTTTCAGAACTTATAGAAAGTCAGGATAGCCGAATAGCCAAACATCCAGCAACCTGCAGCCCCTGCAGCCCCTGCAGCCCCTGCAGCCCCTGCAGCCGCGTGGCGGCGTGGCTGATGTCTGATGGTTCAGGTAGGCTGTGACGCAGCTCTTGTGAAGCAAATGGCCACAAGGCATACGGCAGATGCCCTGCGCCCGACATTTCCATTTGGGACTCATTGAAGCCATACATTGGATCAACACGACATAAAATACTGTAGATATACCTATCCACCTGAAATTCTATAGTTATTGCAATTACGAGTAGAAACCAGCTTACCCAATTTGGGGGACCCACATTGTGGCGGCCAAACAGATTCAGACAAGCATTCCCTTGAAACATGGAAATAAAGGAGTTCAATTCCAAGATTCAAAGAAACCTGGCTCGTGCGCATACCATTCGTACCAGAATCAGTTGCATCATGATCACTCGCCAAATGGGCATTCGAAAGAATCATTCAGGAAGTGTTAGCAGTTGCATTATTATCATGCTGAAGAGATTTCCTTGGAAGTTTCAACTGGTCCCAACTTCCTGCAACATGTTGAGTTCAACCAAGTTCCAGCAAAGTCCTCAAGATTTGGACTTCTCATACCTCACGCATGTTTCTTCACGGGAATCTTGGTTCAGTTGGTCCGCTCTCCCGGGCCTCCTCATTCTGCGCGGCCAGTTCCGCCAAACAAATGGCGCAAATCTCACCCGTCTCGGCGCAGGTAGGGGCATCCACCCGGCGAATTTCACCTGAAAAATTCAGGGAATGGAACACCCCAAGGAGGTAAAAATGGCTGGGAATGGAACTTTCGCTAAAAAAGAGCTTTGGTTCGCTGGGAAGTTTGCATAGACAGCTAATAGCAGGCGCTTTTCCAGCCGGCCATGGCACACATTAGCTACACTCAAAAATCGCGAATGGATTACCAGTTGCCCAATTAGGATTCCTGATATATAGTTGTCTCTAATGTCACCCATTTCAAAATATCCAAATGTCCAGCCTTTCTTTGGGTAATGGCACATGAAGCAACAGAACTTCTGCCCGGGCACTGGCAATGACGTTGAGGTTATTACTCTTGCCGTCTTCTCGCCAACCTCATCACGATCCACGGTGATGCATGGTGCATGGGCCCTGGTCAGGAGTCAAGGGTGGCTTGCTGGGACATCCCCATAATCGCCTATCTAAATGGCCATGGGAACAGGAATGTCATTAATATATGTTAAAATCATCTATCATTGGATATCATTGGGGCATTTGACAAATTGTCATCTTTGATTCCCAGTGGGGACGATTTATGACGATTTTATATAACTTGCCCAGATTGCGAAGTTTATCATGGTGAAATTACAAGATGTTACAGGTCACTTGCTAAGTGGGACGGTCCCCTGCAATGTCCCAGGGTGTGTCCCATTGATCAAGTTTTTCGCAGGGGTCTTGGTAACAACTACCCCCCACTGCAATGTCCCATTGAACTACCCCCTTCTGCCCCATCCAAGCACTGTATACACCCCAGTCTATCAGGGTCATCCTTGAGGCCGTGCTGTTCAGCATGTTGCAACCCCTAAACCCGCCTCCCCAAACAAAGAAATAGTTCTAATCATAAGCCAAGTGCCAAACAGCATCGTGTATATTGCCGATTCTGGTCCCCAAAAAGGGTTTTTATTCACAGTCTTGATCATAAAAATCACCCTTCACGAAGCCAAACCAAGCTTTTTGGGATCCCAGATCAGCCGTCATTTGTGGCGGCAGGGACCCTTGAAGAAATCCTCCAACACAAATCTTAGATACCAAGGAAAACAGGTTATTGTCAGCTGGATCGGTCAATATATCCGATTCAACCATAGTTTTGATGATTAAGCCCATGGTTTCTGATGACCCATACTCCTTCACCAACGATTCACCGGTTTACAAACATATGGGCCTAAAAATCCAACTATTTCGCTGCGCAAAAACCAAGGTTTACCTACTTCTTCATACACGTCTGATGGCCATGATCCACTTATTGGAGCTATGAAGTAGGCTTTACCCAAGATATAACACAACACACACACACACATAATCCAATCTGGTTGGGGGTTGTAACCATCTTGAAAAATACTAGTCAATGGGAAGGATTATCCCATATATTGTGGAAAATAAGAGATGTTCCAAACCACCAACCAGATCATGTCTAGATTATGTCTACATGTTTTATTATTTGGATTTATTTGGTCAGTTTCTTCCGCACATGTTTTTCGGCTTCAACAAAACGATGAAAACTGCCGTGGGACTGAAGGCCACGGTGATGCGTTTCCAGGGATCCTGGGTGGAGGGTCCCACCACTGTTCCCAGGATGTTGGCGCGCACCACGACTTTTCCGCCAACGCCTGGCGAATTGCTGGTCCAGGACGCTCTTGGAGAAGGTTGAAATATGGTGAAATATGATATGACAGTGTGACAGGATATGTTTTTTGTTTTTTTTGGGTATATTTTTGTTTGTTGAGTTTGTTGTGTTTCTTCAGTGTGAGATCGTTGAATGGTGAATGTACAAGATTGAACCTGGAAAAGAAAACTATGGGTTCTACTAGCATGGGAAAAACCTTGTTGCATGCGATAGATCAAGTTAAATACAGTACGCAAAGAGAATCATTGCCCCTGCTATAATAACTACCATTGTTAGATGTTGTAATATTCAAAACCAATCAATCTACTAATTGACAATTATAGATAGTTGTTAATACTGTAATACACTATTCTTAATATCTACCCTCTAACTATGAACAACTAATCTAGGAACAGTATCTATTGCTACTCAATGTACTCTTAGTATCACCCATTGTTAGATAGATAGATATATATATATATATATTGAGGGTTATATATATATGCGATATCAAAATGGTTTATTGTCGTTAAGACAATGGTGAACATGATAAATCATTCCCTAAATCACCATCAATAGGTGGTATAAACCATTCCCAAATGGGTAGTTGATGGCATTGTTTTAACCACATTACTACCATCTGGTTATGACTAACATAGCCATGGAAAATCACTTAAACATGGAGGTTTATAGCTGGGAAAATCATCTATTTCTATGGGCCATCTATACCATGGCTATGTTAAATAACCAGAGGGTATATCCCAGTAAATCCCATTAAGTCACCATTAAGTCACCATTAAAACCCATTAAATCCCATTAAATCCCATAGTAAATCCTATTAAATCCATATAAATCCAATCAACTGCCAGGTCACGCAGATCCCGGGAGGCTGTCACCGCATCGCCACGGTTGTAGCCCCCCGCCAGGGCGGGGCCCGAGTCTTCGGTGTCGTCTTCCTTCTCCTGCGGCGTGGCCGGCGTGGCGTTTTGGGACCAGGAAAAGATGGGAGTTACCCTCTGGTTATTTAACAGTTCGCCATGGAAAATCACCATTTTTAATAGGTAAACCATCTATTTCTATGGGCCATTTTCCATGGCTATGTTAAATAACCAGATGGTAATTTAACCGTTTGCGAACTGGAAAATGGATGAAAATTGCACATAGAAATAGTTGATCTACCTATTCAAGATTGTGATTTTCAATAGCTATATAGTTTACCAGATGGTAAAATGATCTTATCATGATTTATCAGCCTTGGGAGTTTATCATCATTGATGGGAGTTAAGGTTCAACAATGGGAGCTAAGATTCAAGATTGGGAGTTGGTTTATCATCATTGGGAATTAGTTTATCATCATTGGGAGTTAAGATTCAACATGTTATGGAAAAGTGGAGGGGGTACATGAAGAATATCTACTTAAGACATGAATAAAGGGCGGACTTAAGAATACTGAAGATGATTGATGTGGAAGGGCCAATGCCATAAAGCTACCATTTTGCGGATGGTTGAAACACCACCCATAAAAATGGTGATTTTGTAGGGATGACTTATGCATTGGGTTGACCACATGTTCATCGACCAAATCTATCATCGTACATTCAATTATTCAACATATATGGAAGAAATAGGCTGAATCAAGAATATAAATATGTGTATATATATATGTGTGTGTACCTATCTACCTACCTACCTACCTACCTATCTATCTACCTACCTACCTACCTAGCTATCTATCTATCAATGGTAACTACGATAAACACAAATGAATTTAGACATGGAATTGAATATGCACAGGCTTTGGACAAAACGGGGAAGTCAACCTTTTCCGATCCAAAACTGGTTTTATGTCGTGGGAAACTGCGGATCCGACCACTTCTACCTAACATCATCGAATGGAATATTTAATACATGTTAATACCTTCATCGAATGTTATTCAATAATATTAAATATATTTATATAATATGACCCGCCATTATCAAAAATATCATTTAGCAGACTTGTTTACAAGTAGGTACAGAATGAGTTGATGTATGTGCTAAAAGATAGAATTATTCAATATTAGGGGGACGGGAGTAGTTAGGCAGTTTGTCTTTGCTCCTCAGATGGATTTATGACCAGAAAACAATCATATCTGGCTGCCTTACTTGCTGCCTTTGGGCGCCGGGGACAAAACTATGCTTTTGATGGGTGTGAAATATTCCTCTATCATGCGCTCTTTGATGATAATTCTTCACATGCCAAACTTAAGGTCACACCCTAGGATATAATGAACACTTAAATTATTGGATTGAACTAACACAAGATGAAATTAACTACCATTTAAATCCATTTAATGGGCATCTGGTGATCAAAACAATGATGACCTCGAACCGGATAATATTTTTGAGGTTTGGAACACGATTTACGCATAATCACTCTTTACAGTTTAAGGAGGTAACCGTTCTGTCTCCATCATCAGCCAACCAAGAGCATGAAATGAATGACCTACCATCAATACGTATATCGCTATAGGTCCATGTCAAAAAAGCACTGACTTTTGTTTTCTGTTTCATGCTGAGTCCCAAGCTTACGAGTTTGGATTTCAATCTTGAGTTTTTATTCAATGTTCAGTATGCTTTGAAGATAAACACACATTATTATTAATTAATTATTATTAGATGCCATTAGTATATTTATATAAACATACACATGTCCATACGAGATTTCCCCAGTCTCCAAGGAAAAACACGGAATGACGAACGGCCAGGGCCGTTTCACGCAGTTCCATGGATCCAGTCAAACCAGCAACAAGATTATACAACAAGAATTGATTCCAAAAAGAACTATTATGCATACCTACAACTATATTATTATCTCAAGAATAATCAATATTATTCAAGAATCTTATTATTCAAGAATATTCAAGTAAGAACAAGTAAGAACTACTATGTATACCCAAAAAAATCCAATGAATTACAGCACTAAACCAGCACAATAAGCAGTACAAGTGTTGACATTCACAGCGTCACAGCGATTCACCCTCCGCTGGTGGCAGGTAACCGGTTTTTCAGCATCATCCACATCTTCCGCCACGGCGTTCAGCACTTTGAGATCTTCGGGCTCAACATGGAGCACCTTGGTCTGACCGGTACGGGGTTAGCCTCTGGATGCCTCTGGTGATTTGATGTAATTTCTTACAGTTTGCTATTGAATATTGCCATTTAGTTCGTTGATTTACTATTTAAACATGGTGATTTTCCTTAGCAAACTGTAAACGTTTAGAGTGTAGTAAGCATCAGAACTTGGGAAAGAAATGGAACATGGGAAAATCACGGGAAAAGGTGGACTAGGGTTGTGACTTTTCAATTTGCAGCCTTCCCTCCCCCTCTGAGCAATGTTCAAAACCCTGCGTCGAACCTTCAAAAGCTGGTTGATTGAGAACGGGATCACCCGTTCATGGATTGTGATATTTACCATCTGGTTATGACTAACATAGCCATGAAAAATCCCTTATAAATGGAGGTTTCAATGGGAAAATCATCTATTTCTATGGGCCATTTTCCAATGGCTATGTTAAATAACCAGATGGTAATATTCCCATATATTGCCGAATAGATCGGGTAGTAGAATTCCGAACTAACCATGCACCAACCATTTATCACGTACATCCACTTGTATCATCCTATATCCCCTAGTTTCATAATTACAATCCATATTTCATGTTTTTTGTCAATTATAGATAGTCAAGCACCCCGTTAAAACCCCTATTCAAATCCCATTAAACTGGGCTTTTGAATATCCATTGGATTGGTTTACCGGAAGATTGACACCAGAAAGCCCCTCTAATCCAGTAAACACATGTAAAAACCATATAAAACCTCTATGAAACTGATGGCTAAAATCAAGTTAAATCCTATTTAAATCCCTTTAAACTGGGCTTTTGCTGGTGCAAACCATGGTTTCCGGTTCAGATGGTCCCTTGAAAAATGATGAAAAATGGCTCCTCCATTGCACCAGGGCACCACTTCTTCACAGCTCGAGACCGTGTCGCCCTCGCGGCTGTCTTCCACGGCTTGGAAGCGCACGGCCACGCGACTCGACTGCGAACAGGATGGGCCAACCACGATGCCCTGGGCACCTGCCGTGGCTTCATGGGGACATCAGGGCGATTTTGGGGGGCCAGATCATGGAGAAAACCATGGGAAAACCATGGGAAAACCACGGGAAAATCCCAAGTGATGCATCATATGAATATAAATGATACGTCCAGCAGTGCCAGCAGCACTAAGAAAGGGAACTTGCAAAGACAATGACCAATTGCATGTCCTGAAAGCTATCATGGAGCCGGCCAAGAATGGGGAATGATCTTACGCCTTACGCTCTTGGAAATTGCTCTTTGCGCGGTTTCACTGTGAGATTTCAGGGGATTGTCTTGTTGTTAGTGGGGCATGAAGAATAAACGCAAACAATTCACCAGTTGGTTGTTGGAGGAGAAATGACGTAAGTAAGAATGCAGCTCCGGCACTGCACTAATCGAATCTAATCGATCCAATATGATCCAATAGTAACTTCCCTGAAATGGGCCTGCTGAGTCAGAATTTTTCGTGCGGTAATTCGAGGGGAGGAGATTCCAAAGGAACTTCTTCAAAAAATCCATGCGAGTTCCATTTGCAACCACTTTTTTTCCAGTGTTCAGGCTGGTTCAGGGACTTTCACCAAGCAAGATATTTGATGAATTCCAGCAGTTTTTTGTTTTATCTCTGTAAAATCCTGAAGCTCTTGGACTCTTGGCGAGACATCCCCATACTTCACTGGATATCGAGCTATTGAATCAATGTTTATAGATAAGAAACATGGTAAAAATGATACTTGTTTGCTGGGAGATCATTTAACGCATCAATGTTCAACAAAATCTTGCAAAATCATACCATTTATCTCAGGGTTTGATGCTGAATGCTGAGAACTATGTTTTCATATCTGTAGTATGAGGTAAAATCACTTTTTGTCATAGTCAAGTTTTGATGTTTCAATCGAAACTTTCGTGAATCCCTTCAAAGTCCTACTCTCTGGTAGCGAACCTAGCTATGGTTGAGATTGGCCCATTTACCATCTGTTTATGACTAACACAGCCATGGAAAATCACCATTTTTAATAGGTAAACCATCTATTTCTATGGGCCATCTATACCATGGCTATGTTAAATAACCAGAGGGTGTCCAGGATATTCCCATGAAAAACGGTGACTTCCAGCCGCGCCCACCGCGCCGTCCCATCGCGCCTTTGGGCACCACCAGCAACTGCCGAAGCGCCGCCACTCGATCGCCGGGAACCAAGCCACCCGTGCAGGGCATGTGTTGGATCTCTGCGGGAACCACGTTCCTCCGAAAAATTGGGACGGCTCGGGTAGGCATCCTCCGGTCATCAAACATGGTTGGCTGGTGAATGATGGTTTCATGGTTGGTGAATGGACAATGATGATTAATGAGGGCTAAGAATTGTTAATGATGGTTAATAGTTAATAATGGTTAATAATGGTGATTAGTGGGATAACATCATAAAAGGTATCATAGTGATATAACCACCAATAGTAGGATAATAATGGAAAATCGGGATCTAAAAATCAACCATAGCTAGGATATAAGAGGGATATCGATGGGGATACCCCCTGGTGTGATGAAACGTGGCTGGCTGGAAAATCCCTGAACCAAATGGAGATGCTAGTGGGGACTTCGTCTAATTATATATATATTATTTCAAACCTTAGTCTCTTAAATTTGGATTCCTGTTGATTTCATATGTCCAGGGAAAGAACTATGGAAAGAACTATGTAGCAATCCATGGAAATAAGGGGTGTTTCCACTAAAAATGTCACCCAATGAAGAAACCCACCACTTTGAAAGAAAAACGCATTGCTCCAAGTTCTTGGACAAAAAACCTTTCAACATCAAGTTAGATGTTACATACAAACTTCGTATTTGAAAATATTGGTCCGTAAGTTGGAAAGGAAAACAGTATACAACAATATACAACATCTGTGTAATTCGGGGCCCCATATTTCTTCAAAAAGGAGAACACCAAAGAATGCATTTGCGCAAGCTCCAACTAGAAAAAAAAACTCATAAAAACAATATTACGATGTGACCCTGTATACTGTAAAATTGGTTAACTAGTGCATTGATGAGTGTATGTATGGCTGTGTGCTCACGTGCATGGATGAACTACAAATGCAAATCCTCAGTTTTTAAGTATTGTTTTCGGTGCTGCGAAGACCACGGTAAAACTTAGGTAAAACATGGTGAAACAAATTTATCAACTGCAAACGGAATCCTTCAAAGATGTGTTACTGCATTTCTGTCGCTACGTTGTTGTGCATTGGTCCGTAGCAGTGTTGCAGTAACAGATTACAATCATTATAAATATGTCATTTTATCCAAATACAACGCTTAAACTTTATTGTTGCGTTTTATACAAACAAACCCCGTCGATATACTTCCAAACTTTCAAACATACACGAACAAACAAGAACATATAATTCATCTAAAAACTCAAACAGTCCTATATAAATCATAAATACAAAGCAAGTAAAGTAAGGCAAACATCAAAAAAATACTTATAAAGCGTTAAACAGTTGAAGTGAAATCGAGAAGTAAAGTCAAAGGTATGTTACAAGTTGAAGGTTCTAAGTTTTAGTTATAGGTTGTAAGTTCAAAGTTAAAAGGTTACAAAGTTATAAGTTACACAGTTTTTAGTGTCAAGTCATAGCTAGAAGCTCTAAGTTGTAAATTAACAGTTATAACAGTGTGTTTCAATTTTAAAACAGTTCCAAAACCTTATACATTGATTTATTGAAGTTTGATAGTCAAGAGTTATGGATTATGAGTTGTATTTTACAAAGTAGCTATAAGCTACAAGTGTGTATATTTGGTTTTATCAAGTTATATACAAGTATAAAAGTAAGTTAACATATAAGCCATTATTTGGGGTTTGCAGAACGGTTCGGAACGGTTCCGGAGATTTCCCCAGAACGGTTCGGAACGGTTCCGGATACTTCCAAAACCTCAGAACTATTTAGAACTATTTAGAACGGTTCCGGAACGGTTCCGGATTCAAAGCCTATAGACCCCAGAACGGTTCGGAACGGTTCCGGAGACCTCCATCTAATAGCATATGTTAACTTGTATAATTGCATATTTTGACTATATAAGTATTTTACTTTAATACAGAGAGTTTGAACAAATAAACACATACTAGTACCATAAGCAATGATGATTCAACACAAGCGATACTTTCAAAGAGATATTTTAATACAAACTACACAGTTGTATGATTTTGTTAGAAAAGATTCCACAGAACAGTTTTCAAGACAGGTAAGATTTTGAAAGGGGCCACGCCTTCCATGAACAAACAGCTGAGAAACTTCCAGCCTTTTGTGGTCTACATCCAGTTTCACCTTCTCCCTTGTGCTCAGCATGCCTTCGCACTGCCTGTTCAAAGACTTAGGCGGAGAAGTTGCCTTCCCTTTGTCGTTTTTCTGACTCCTTTCTCTTGTAGCCTTGGCCCTTGGAGCCACAGGGCGGCTCTTTGGAAGGTTTTGAAAATGCGAAACAGGAGGAACTGCTCTTGACCGTTTTTTGGGGGGGTTTGGAAGCTGTGGAGAAATATTTCCGTGCAAAGTTGAGGTCTGCAGAACCGTTCCGAACCGTTCTGGAGGTCTGCAGAACCGTTCCGAACCGTTCTGGGGACCTCTGCGCTAAGAAAATTGTCACGTAAATTGGTTCTCTGTGCCAAGAATCCCGGGAATAGGAAGGCACGGACAAGGTTGAGCCATTCCGGATGCATTAGTCCCAACCTGAAAGTATAACCCATCATCACCCTCAAGAACCCCACCGTTAGCGCTATATATATATATATATATTCTGAAAAGTATCAAATCATGGTCCAAGAAATTATCGGCAGCTATATACAATATAGTTTGTTTCTTTTATGGGTAGTAGCACGGTAGTAGCAACAGTCTTGCCAGAGTGACAAAATACCAACAATATAGCCTGGATGTTGCACTGCTGCCGCTACTGCATATTTTTGATCCATTCCAGAACTGGTGGGGAAAAAGACAGCAATGGGAATGCAGCCAACAACCAGCATTGCCTTTGTTCTTTTTTTGAAAAGGGAAGTCACATAATCCCAACAGCCTGAACACATTGCAGAAGCCAGCTCAGCGCGCCCAAACACACATGGACTCCCTTCCAAATAATTGAAATTACATATTGATAGAATTCGACTTCAGCGCCTGTTCCTTCCACCTCAGTATTTCTCCAATTGCGCTTAAACCGCCTGAATCTTCCCTCAAACAAATGCAGCATCATAAATTAAACCCACTATCTGTATGCGGGTTGTGTATTTATTCAAGGTTTCAGGTTGTTAAGTAATCAAAGCTGAATTTAGCCCAGTCTCACACTAGAAAATTAATTAGCTGCAAATAGAATTCCACTTCGTCGTTTGTTTCTGTCGCCTGAGTATGTCTCCCATCTTGAAAGCAAACCATATTTTCACCCAAATGCCAGCCCCAGACTAGAATTTGGAATGCATAATCTACTTAAGCGCACATAGAATTCTACTTAGGCGTCAGCTTGTGACGCCCAAGCAAAATTCTATTTGCGCCTAAGTAGATCATGGATTATGTTTTCCAACAGCCCCAGACTAGATTTCTATTTGCGCATAAGTAGATTATGAATATAAATTATGTCTTCCAACAGCCCCAGACTAGAATATGGTCTAATTAGGCGCAAATAGTAATAGAATTCTACTTAGGCGTCAGTTCGTGACGCCTGAGCAGAATTCTTTTTGCGCCAAAGTGGATTATGAATTATGTCGTCTAACCGCCCCAGACTAGAATTCTATTTGCGCCTAAGTAGATTATGAGTATGAATTATGTCTTCCAACAGCCCCAGACTAGAATTTGGAAGACATGGTCTAATAAGGCGCAAATAGTAATAGAATTCTACTTAGGCGTCAGTTCGTGACGCCTAAGCAGAATTCTTTTTGCGCCCAAGTAGATTATGAATTTTGTCTTCCAACAGCCCCAGACTAGAATTTGGAATGCATAATCTATCTGGCGCAAATAGAATTCTACTTAGGCGTCAGTTCGTGACGCCTAAGTAGAATTTTATTTGCACCTAAGATTACCTAAGTAGATTTAGTCTTCAAAAGAAAGACCGAAACATAAGTTCACCCCAATCTCACAATCAGAATTTTATATCTATAGACTGTGGATCAGATAGGTATAAAGTATCCATGGCAAGTTTTTGTTATTAGCAAAACTGAATTCATCACCGGTCCACAATACAAATTCAATTTAGGTCAAGTACTTCACGACTTTGAGTGCAAATCCAGATTGATGAATCTGGATGTGTCCTCGCTGTGTGCATTGTTTTGTTTCTTTACTTCTTCAAAAGCTTGCTAATTTTCCCTTGACATGGTTTCTAACATCACCTTCTATAAGATATCCTTATTGCCCTGGTTTCTTCCATAGTCCCTTCCATAGTTCCCTCCATGGTCCACAAGGCCAACAGGTTAAGAGGCTAAAGTTTGAAATAATATATATATTGGTTGATGTTCAATTGCCAAGTTTGATTACTGGAGGGTAGCTGGAAGTCCCCTGAAAATATCTAAAAATAAACAACTGAATGCAACTGATTAGGAAACTATGGGAAAATCATCGAATATTGAAGCATGCGTCATCCCGATATTAGTTGACTGAAGGGCATTACCCAAGTATAGCAACCCCTAGCCCATAGGAAAATGAACAATCAACCATCAACAGGGACTGTATTGTGGTACATATTGTGGCGTATACCCTCCGGCAAACTTTGAACTAATCGTTTGCGAAATGGAACATCACCATGAAACAATACGTAAATCATCAATCATGAAGCCTTCTCCAGAGCTACTTTAGTCTACTGACTGAAAAATAGCAACCCTCAAAATCATGGAAAAGTATAAGCATCAAAAAGGGTGAGCTAATCAAGAATGGAGATAACCAACAGTATCCAATGATTGCGCGGCCCCCCTGCTTATCTAAGTTGGCTTATAAATAGGATAACTATTGAATTTATGGTAGATGTATCGAACTAGTTATACAGTTGGTTGGGTTCAGAAGCCAATTTATAACTTGAGGTGCCTTGAATCCGGATATTGATATAGCCAACAGATTTGAGATTAAACATGGTTAAACCAACCATTTTACAGGAATGAGAAGGGAATACATGAGGAAAAATAGGACATTTTGGTACTTAAAATTCAATGTCTGCTGCTTCCGCCGGGGAACAATTGCTCTTTTGACAAATATGGAGGGACGTTTCAACCAAGAACAAATTGAAATCATATGTTTGATTGGCTGAATTGATGAGCCATCAGCCATATGATCAAATTTATTCGGCATATATGCGGCATATGTTTTGTGCAATTTTGTTGGTAATCTACCACCAAGTTTTGATGATTACACAGGAACACCTGAAAATTTGGACAAAGAAACATGGGAGTTTCAACCAAGCCCCAAGCAGAACAATGGATATTCAACAGGGAAGAAAGCTTGGAATGGCACCATGAAAAGCCGGACTTCAAACCGAGAAAGAACTAGAAATTCAACAAAAGCCTAAAGTTAACCAAGAAAGAAGTTGAACACATCACAAACATAGCATGCGAACTTCAAGAAAGAGAGAAGATCTGAAAGAGAGAAGATCTTGTACCGAAGAGAAATCATAGAAACCCTATTAATTACTTGGCATCCTCCCACTTGTTGGAGCTTTGTTCGCAGCAAAACAATGACAATGGTTGATGGTTCAAACATGGTCAAACCAATTGAACAAACAAACATCACTTGGTGTCTCAAACTTGGGCACCCCTAAATAACCCCATGATTGATGAGCAATTGTTCCAACTATGTCTAAAGGCCATGAACATTGATGAACGCCGTGAAAATTGGCTAATCCCCCATGTTGAAACTTTTTTTGCCTTAAAAACATGGGTTCCGTAAAGTTCAATGCGTTTCTTGCTCGCATTTCCTGGCATTTTCCACACGTTTGCATCACTTCTCTCCCGATTTTTGGGTGGTTCCCATCCACAGCATCCCAGGTGCAAGTTGTTGCTCCGCCCATCTTCCCGTCGTGCGAAGGCCACAGTGACGCGCCCTGCAGGGTCGGTGGCACTTTGACCAACGACGGTGCCGAGGACGTTCTGCTTCACCACCTGAGGGGGTAATGGTTTTTGGGTGACTTCAGCAACAATGGGCCATGTTTTGGTTGACTTTCGTGAAACAAATGGTGTTGAACACATTTTTGAACCACACAAATAGGAGGATTAAAGCAGAAAAACATCGTCACTAGATCAATCGGAAAGGTGGATTTCCTGTAATTTGGTTGGATTTCATGGAATTCTTCTGACATCTTCGTCTGCGGTCCGTACATGTGTGGGCCAAACGGTCCCCAATTTTTCTGCGCAAAGTGGCGATGATGCCCTTCACTCGAAGATCTTTGGCCGCCAAGACAGTTTCACCTCGTTTGAAGCCACCAGCGATCCTTAGCGCAACAAATCTGCCACCTGTCACCTCCCAACCTCACTCACCTCAAGTCAACCTTAGCCAACCTTTTTGGCAGAGCATTGCTATTCCAACCATTCCCACTTATTACAGTTAAATAATTATATTATATGTTCAATCCATTCCCACTATATATATACATACATCGCGTGTATATATGTCTGTCTGTCTGTCTATCTATCCTATCCTATCCCATCCCATCCCATCCCATCCCATCCATCCATCCATCTATCTATCTATCTGTATACTCATCTATCTATTCATCTATCTATCAATCTACCTATATATCTATAATTATCTATCTATTGATCGATCTAGATCTGTAGATAAAAGATATAAAAGTATGTCATAACATTCAGATTCCCATTCCCATGACGGATCCGGCTGGTGCTGGTATATATACTAACATTATTTGGGTTTTTTTCTTGATGGGATCCATGGCACACCATATATTTCTAGCAGCACCGGCACCGTTAGGATCCGTCATGGGATTGTTTGACACCTCCCATTATTAACCATGATTAACCATGATTAACCATGATTAACCATGATTAACCATTGATGTTGATAGGGGTATTAACATGTATTAACCACTATTAATCCCCATCCATGGGATTCAGAAACCCAGCATCATCAACCGCACATCATCCGCCTGCGCCTCGCGTTCCACCGGCCGGGCACCGTCCCAGCGCACCACGATGCGCTGCAGCGGTTCCTCCAAGGCCGGGCCCAGCACGGTGCCCACGGCACCTGGAACCACCGGCTGCAAGCGGTCGTAGCTGATGGGACGGGTCGCTTGGACACGGGCACCCACTTCCAGGTTTCCAGCCACATACCTTGGAAAATATGGGGAAAATATGGGAAAAACATGGGAAAACACATGGACACACATTGAAAAAACATTTTTTGCAAGGATATAAACAATAACACTTGTGTTAAAATGGGGAAAAATGGAAAACGTGGGAAAATGGATCACCTTAGGGACAGGTGCTTACTCATAAATGTTAAGGGACACTCTGGGAAGAGGGCCGCAGACCGGACCTTTCAAAAGTGCCATGAAGGAAGATGAAAGAGAGAAATCGGAAGGTTGTATTTTTGAAATTAAACAGCATGGTTTCCGGTCAAGATGTTTCCCTTCAATCCATCGAAAAAAAAAACTATTGAGTGAAACATGTGGGAAGAAACAGGTTGGAAAATGATTGTGCTGGGCCATTCTGTGGGATTTGCGGTGCTAAATATGCCAGCACCACAGAGCATGTAGGTAAGCATGCCAAAGGACTGCAAATGCTCAAGTCGTTTACTCCGTGCGTGGATGTGGTTGGGGGTATTTAGATGTTTTATTGCTTAGCCATTTTGTGAAATGGAGATCCCATGGCAAAAATGCCCAGTATACTAGCCAAATTGCTCACTTTGCATTTCTTGTCTCAAATTGGTCAAAGATAGGTCTGAAAAACTCACAACCAGCTTCAAAAACCCATCACAACACACCAAAAAAGCCATCATTCACCCTTCTCCTTCCCAACCATCCCCCAAAGCGCGCTGCAATTTGATCTCATTCACCACGCAGTTCAGTCGATTTCGGCTGCTATCCTCGCGGTGGCTGAAGCTCACCGTGACCCGGTGCTGTGCATCGGAGTGGCTGGGCCCCACCACGGTGCCCAGTACGCCTTCCCGCACCACCACTTGACCGCCCACACGAAGATCGCCTCGGGCCGGAGGAATTATTGTAGGATATCAGCATATGTTCAAACACTTCAGTGCATCATATTTTCAAACATGATATATATATATATATATGTGTGTGTGTATAATTGTATATATATATATATGTGTGTGTGTGTTTATATATCACAATGGTATCACATAATGATCAACCTATTACTACAATATAGTATCACACAGTCATGTAACATCCTGAAAAAATCATGAAACATGTCATATCATCAACATGACTTCCAATGTATAACCAATGTGGCTGGTGTTGATGGTACACCGAGGTTTCATGGCGGGGATCATCCCGGGTCATGGACCATGAAGAGCGAGGCATTGCCAAATCCCCCGTTAAATAAATTCTACTGGAGATATACCTCAAATACCTGACCATGAAATTGCTTCAAGAATTCAAGCTGCCAGAAATGTGTTTCCTAGATGGGCTGAACATTGCGTAACATTGCGCAACCTTCCCGCATAAAATCTGCTTGGCCATCCAGTGGAAGTATCCAAACGATTGTTGATACTCAGCCTCGCCTCTCATGGGTCGGCGACTCACTTGTACGCACAGGCTGGGGGGTGGGGCTATAGGGAAGAAAAGGGTGCATCTACCAGCAACAGCGGCTACCAGACTTCATTATAGCCGTCTGATCACTATCATCATCGTAATTCACCACCATCTTCCTAATCACAATCATCATCCTTATCCTTACCACAATCATCAGAAACACCACCATCACCATGATCACCATCACCACCAGCAGCATCATCACCACCAGCAGCATCATCACCACCAGCAGCACCATCACCATCACCATCACCATCACCATCTCCATCACCATCTCCATCTCCATCACCATCTCCATCACCATCACCATCTCCATCATCATCATCATCATCATAATCATCATCATCATCATCATCAATGCCCCCTATGCGTGTATAACTAGTTGTTCTTTTTGTCCGCGCATTTTTGCTTGCGCGCGCAACCGAGGCACCACCTCCTTTAGTGGGCTATCATCATGTTCCTCCATTGAACATTGATAGCCCAAACCATGAGTTACTGATAGCTAACCATTCACCCAACGACTAAATCGCTTGGTCTTGATGACTCAGTCTCGCAATAGGTCTCCACTTTCGGGATACCCTCTGGAAATCATGCACAATCACCCATTTGATCCATTTGCATAGGAGTTTCCCACTAAAATCATTAAAACATATATTAAAACACAACATAAAAAAAATTAAAACATATTAGAACACCGTTCATAGATTTTTAAAAAAATATGAAAACATTTTTTGTATATAAAAAACATATCATATACGGTATAATTTAAAGCAAACGTGCAATTGTCATGTCAGACTACCATCCGTTAAAAATCCACCCAAGAAAATCGTACCGCTTCGACATTTCTCGGCCCAGCTTCGGGTCGCGATCACCGCGTTGCCGCGGCGGAAGTTCCCCGGGATGTTGGCTTCGACGTCCCCGGGGTCGCAGACCACCTCCTCCTATAAATGTGGTACCCCCAAAGTTAGCTAAGTTGGTGCAAATAACTCCAAATAACTTTGGTTTATGGTAGATATATAAGTTATAAACCAACTTATAGCTGGGAGGGCATCTCCTCCTAGGACCAGGAAATTCGAAAAAAAACATGGGAAAATGGAGGTTTGAATGGGACATTATCTATAAATGGAAGTGTTTGAAAAATGGGAAAATCATCTGTAAATGGAGGATTTCTTCTGGGCCAAGGATCTATAAATCTATCATAATCTATCTATCAATAGGGGGTTCAAAAAGGTGCAAAAATCCCTACAAGCTATGCTGGGAAAGTCATCGAACTATGGTGGAATTCTCTGGATCTCCGAAAATCATCGATAACTGTGCGATTTTCTTATAGCTATATGAAATTACCGGAAGATACCGCAAGGTATACCAGGTATAACATGATTTGGATAGTGATTTCTAGGAAATATTGAAACTTTGGAGAATTTAAAAAGAGTTTGAACATGTTCATGATCCCCATTCAAAATAGCCATTTGGGTGTCAACCTCCCATTTGAAGCAAAAACACACCCATGACTGATTTGTGCTCTTTTATGCTATTTCAATCAATTTTAAACATCAGCATCAGGACATATGGGAAAATGTGGAAATTCTTCAAGCAACCAGGCTTGGTGGTCGCCTGGCCAACACGCAGGGAATCCCAAACATCTCTGGGGTTGATAGTGTTAACATGTGTTTAAAAAAAAACAGTCTGGACCAAAGTGTTTGTCTTTCAGCTAGAAACAGCAGCTCTAACTGAGAAATCCTGGGGACTCAATTACCCATCTAACCACTGGGTCCATGTTGCCAAAACCTAGGACCTAGGCACATCTTCGAAGTTTCAGTTTCACTTCAGGCTGCCGAGCCAAGACTCCACCTGGTCACCGGCGAAACGCACCAGGATTCGCTGAAACAAGGGATCCCGGGCAGGGCCGATCACCACCTGGCGATCGGCTGGAAAGGACATGCCTTTTGGGCATAAGCCATCCCCAAACTGGGCTTTCTTAGTGTGTATAACTCCAATAATATCTACAACTTATAGGGGATATAAGCATAACTATAAGTTATTCTGGGTGATTTTTTCATCTTGTAACTAACGGGCCCCACCTTGTATCCCTACACTTGGGATGATTGAAAAAATAAGCCCAAAGGTTGGTTAAGCCCTTCTATAGATTGTTGAACCTCCCTCAAACAGCTTCTGCCGTGCTCTTTATCATCGTTTAAAGAGGGAGAACGGATTACTTAGTGGGGATGCTGTATTGATTCTGATGGTTAAACCACCAAGTTTCCCAACAATTACCCCCTGGCAATCTAACACAACTGTGGAAGACAAATCATGAAACTAAGTGGGCCATCTAAACCATAGCTATGTTAAATTACTGGAAGATTGATATTCCCATGTGTATTTTTTTTAAATCCCCCTTAAGCACCATAAAATCTCATTAACTTCCATTAATCATTAAACCTCATTGTCACATAGCTTTCATGGTTAAAATACCGATCAAAATTCCATTAAAAAAAAACTAAAACATATCATAAATCCCATATGAATCCCATGGGAAAATCAACCATTTCTCAGCGTGCAATCCCATGAACAATCACCCCAACACACACCTGAATACTTGTAAACAATGTCCAAATTGCCCAATGACCTAGCATGACCTAGCATTTGGATGCATTTGGAGCCTATTATGGGCTATGATCACCAAATTGCCCAATGACCTAGCATAAGGCTATGATGCTTGGTTTATCGCCGTGTTTTTTGTGGAGCTCAGCACTTTTCCAGCGCCAGTGCCACCCAGCAGCCCCACAGCATCCCGCAGGGAGCACCCCACGCTGTGTCTCCAGGGCATGGTGCAGCCGCACGCGCGTCCCGGCCAGGAAGCCACCCGCCAGGGTGTGCCTCGTAAAACCATGGCAATTTTTGTAGGAAAACCTGGTGATTTTATGGGATTTAACTGGGAAAAATGGTGATTTCATGAGATTTAACTGGGAAAAATATTGATTTCATGGGGTTTCACTAGGACAAATTGTGATTTCATGGGATTTTATGAGATTTAACAACCCAAACCAAGGGATTGAATGAGGATTTAGTGGGGTTTGTGATGTTTGAGTCACAAATATGGGAAATACAATGTGATTTAACCAACGTAATTGAACATAGCTATAGTGGAAAATTGCCCGTTTAGGTAGAAAATATGGTGATGTTCTGTCTCTAGGTGAAATTAGGAGAGAGTAATTGATTTGAAAATAACTGATATCAATTGCAGGGAATGATATGTTTTGATTAATTGTCTGTTATAATTGAAATTGATATCCATGAAATAACGTGGCCATGGAAAAAATTGCGGTGCTTTAAACATAAAAGTTGCCATTTGCCAGAATACAAGGAACATTGCTTTCATATCTTCCCATATGTATATAATTATATATATTCGGATTCGGATGTTTTCCATGGCCTAAGAGAAAACACAACAGGAATTGGTGTGTCCGAAATAATGTGGGAAATGTACCCCAAATTTGCAAAATAAAAGAGAGCATTATGAGTCTATAGCCAGTGGAATTCAAAGAGCCCCACACACGTAGGCAAACTCATGTGAAAAATCCGCAAAAAATAATGAAACATGCAGGGAGATGTATCTTCATGATAATTTCAATCCCCGTAAGGCACGGTAATTCTTGGTTTGATTCCGAATGGAGGTGATCAACCCGATTCTATAAGCCATGTATTTAAACAAGAACATGTAGAATTACGGATGTTTACCAGTTCCCGTAAATTCAACAAAAAACATGGCCAATCTTGGACACCTTGCAACGTATGATATGCTCTAGCTGGAAAATCTGGTTATATAGCTTAGGCGCTTAGCCGGTTTTCCCCTATAAAATACAACGAAAAACAATGGCCCACCCGGGAATCGGGAGCGTTCCAGTTGTGCATGCCCTCCATGGTTTGACATGGTAAGTAAAACAAGATTGTCATTTTTTTTGACCAAAAGACATCATCTATAAATTGGGAAGTTTCGATCACCATGTTGACTTCCAGAGGTTGACCAAACAGCCACACAGCGGATATCCAACCCTCATAACTCATAAGAACTCACTTGTGGCAAGGCTGGTAAAGAACAAGATGGACAAGGAAGCTGCACATACCCCAATATCAGCTCACATCGGAATTTCCGTTGGTAGAATGTCAATCCATCTCGAGATATTCAAGATAAATCCCACTTTCATTCAGTGCCATCAATGTCATTTTTTGCCTAGTCACTGCCCCATATGTTGTTGTTTGTTTGCCGTTTCCCGTCTCTCTGAATTCTCCAGGTTCATTTATTGCTACTGCGCCATGTGAAAAAATATGGTGAAATCATGCTAAGAATTCCAAAAATAACAAAACAACTCCACAAACACCGGTTCCAACCCGATAATGAAAAACGCTTAGGGAATTCATCAATACAGTACCTGTGATCGTCGATTGCCATATACTGATACTGGATTTCTGGAGGGTACCATTCACCAACACTTGGACCTTATGGTTCCATTCCTTTAGTCCAAACATAACAGCAAAATCACGCATCAACCAAAAAAATATGAAAAACCAACCATTCACCACTCACCACCCCTCCGCCTCCTTAACCACCATCACCATCTCCCAGATTTTTCACAAAACAATCCCATTCAATACCGATGATCTCTGATAACCCCATCAAATACCAGGTTAATCCAATTCAAACTGTTTCAAACTCATTTTGTTCCGCCCAAACCGTGGTTTTCTGGGAGTTTTCTCCCCCTAACCCGAAAAAATCCAAACACCGCGGCCCACTGACCTCAGCTCGTCCGGCAGGCAGTTCAGGCGGTTTTCGCTCTGATCCTCCCTCTGCTCGAACTGCACACAGATTCGCCCCGAGGACGCGGCGGGGCCGATGACGTAGCCGCTGCCGCCCTGGTGGTTTTTGGTCGTGGCCACTGGGATTCCAAAGGAACCCAGGGAAGCGGCGAATCTTCACGGGTCATCCACTTTTCACGGAAAATATCAACTGTTCAGATTGTTCAGAGAATCAATGAGAATAAGAAATTATGTGAAATCCCGATCAATCACATTTCTCCGTGAATTTATCATTGTTTATCCATTTAATAAATCAAATATCATCAGAGATCACAATAATCACAGGAAAATCAGGAAACCAATGGGACTTCAAGTGCCCTTGGGATTGTTTGGGGATGGTGGATTCTATTGCGCTCGTGGGCTGTCATTTTTTCTTTACATAGCTCACAGGACATCCAACTGAAAGGCAAGAAACCGTGCCGAGCTAGGTATTCTGTACCCAAGCTAAGGGTCATAAGGTTCTCAGTTTGACATAGACTTGTGCCTATTTTTCAACTCTGCACCCTGCCAAGGAAATCCTCGCAATCCTAGCTACGGCATGCTACGGCTGAAAGAAAAATGTCCAGCAAACCCCTCCATTTCGATGGCAAAATCCATCCCTTTCATGTTTCGTTCAGGCCTCTTCAAACTTAATCAAACTTACATATTTGTTCAGCCAAAAATTCAACACATCTCAATTTTAAAAATTCAACACTCTTCAGCCAAGACATCATTCAAAAAGATTCAAAATCTCATTTTCACAGGTTTTCCCCACGATTTTCCCAGGCCCAAGGGGCCAACGGGGCCAACACGGGCCTGCCGCACCACCACCTTGCCGCGTACGCGCAGGTCCCGCGCGGCCACCACGGTGTCGCCCGCCACGAAGCCGCGCAGGGCCAGGTCGGAGCTGGTGACCTGGGTGCAGAGGATCCAACAATGGTTAAAATATACCATCTGGTTTTTTAACATAGCCATGGAAAATCCCCAAAATAAATGGAGGTTTCTAGCTGGGAAAATCATCTATTTCTATGGGCCATCTGGTTATAAGTTGGTTTATAAACCCCATTAAATATAGATATATCTACCATAAACCATATAGTTATTGGAGGTATTTGCACCAACTTAGCTAACTATAGGGCACCACATTGTAAGTTGGTTTGTTAACCCCATTGGGTATAGATATAAATCCCATATAAACCATAGTTATTGGAGTATATTGGAGTATTTTGGAGTTACCATCTGGTTATGACTAACATAGCCATGGAAAATCACCATTTTTAATAGGAAAACCATCTATTTCTATGGGCCATGTTCAAAGATTTGAGGCCCCCAAGATAGCTAAGTTGGTGCAAATAACTCCAATAACTATGGTTTATGGTACTTATAACGAACTAGTTACTGGGGCGAATCTAAACCAACTTATAACTGGGGGGCACCACTTTGTTGGTTACTTATCTGGTTGGTGGTTGACCTATCCCCATCTATAAATGGATGATATGTATAATAATGGAAAATACCATTAAAATATGGATGATGACTGGGACATACTGGTTGGTGGTTGACCGACCCCTCTGAAAAATATGAAAGTCAGTTGGGATCATTGTTCCCACAATATATATATATATACATATGGGAAAATAAAAAATGTTCCAAACCACCAACCAGTTATATATAGTATTCTATAGTGATATTATTACTGATATCATAGTTGGTTACTAAATATAGTTACCTCCCATATTAGTATAGTGATATAGTTGGTTAATATAGTGATAATGGCTAAATCCATAATATATTGTTAATATAGTGGTATGATTACTGATAACTATATTAACGGCTGATAAATGTAAAGTATAGTGATATAGTTGGATTTAACAACATTTGAATAGTTAACATTGATTAATGTAGTGATGATTTGGTTGGTATAGTGATATAGTTGGTTGATAATGGTTAACATTGGTTGACAGTTAACATATATATATATATAATAGTTGGATTGTCAATATGGTACAACGGTGATGGTTAGTATGATATGGTGATATAGTTGGATATAGTGATAATGGTTAAACCCATAATTTATATGGTTAATATAGTGATGTGATTACCAATAACTATATTGATATTGGTAGTATGCATATCAATAATGATATATTGTTAATCCCTAGGCTGTTGATAATATGATAGTATATTTAGTGGTGATATAATATAGTCAATTCTCATAGTTAATGTCATGAAACCGCTAGTGAACTAGCATAGCTAATGTCAACCCTGGCTTAATAAACCCCTAGGTTGCTGATCCTTGGGGGGTACCAATTATCAGATTATCACTACTTGGTGGGTACTCCCATGAATAAACCATGGTAATGGGATCCCATTCAAAAAAATGCTCCTATACTACCCCCACAAGAAACTCCAATAATATGAGAAGCTAATCCCTTCCCCCCAAATATTTAATACCTCCCAGAAACCATACTTTAGTAGTGAAATTACATGCTTGTGACCATGGAATGGGGTGTTTAAGATTAGGGCACTGGGATTTAACTATAACCATGATACCATACCATAGCGTTATGAAATATTGTAGTGATTGCATGGTCAATATTTAAAGAAATACTATCATAGTATACATAGAAGTATGCCTGCAACTTCCCACCCCCACACACACAAAAAAAAAGTACTTTAAGGTACCTAGGGACACCATGGCCCATTTAGTATCAAGAAGGCACAGTCAACCCCCTAAATAATTCATTCCCCATTCATACTGCCTCAGTACTTGATCCATTTCTGAAACCAAAAATGTCAATTCCGGATTAATAAACCTCGAATGTCCCATCATTGTCAAATGATGATCATTTGCTGCTACAACGGTCCCCCCAAGGATCAACAGCCCAGGGGTGAATAAAAATCCGCCCTGAAATTTTGGGATATTTTGGGATACTTGTCCCTAGCTACTAGCCATGTGGGAGGATTCCCAGAAATGAGGTGATGCAAAAAGCAGAACTATGAGAAGTTATTATTCTTAGCCTTAGCAAATAAGTGGTCAATAGTAGGTTCTCCGAGAGTATCCAAGAATATAATGATTTAATAAAGGTTAATATGCAAAATCCAATCATGGACGGTGTGGGGGGGATTTTTTTTTGGCAATCTTAATGGTGCAATATGATTACACTCATTAAACTCCAGTGTATATGGATAATTCATGATAATTCATGGGTACATTGCCAGTTCTGATGAATCAATCAGCGGCCCAATTTATTATCAGTCGTTTCTGATTACTACCCTCAGGGCCAATCATGGATGATGCGTTTTTTTTCCTAACATGGGGGTAAAGGACATCTGTAGAAATCAAGCAACATGTGCATGAAACAGCAGGGAGGACATCCCCAACGATAGGTATATAAGTCGATTTATTTCACTTTCTACTGTCTACACTTTTTATAGATTTAGCCTAAACCAATCATGGATGATGTAAGTTTGTCCAAAAGTAGGGCACCCCTGAATCCAGAGGTTGATCATCATGTTCCATATTGAAATGAGTATTTTGCGGGCCAACCCTCTTTTTAGAAAAAAAAAACATGTGGGAAATTACCTGCTCGACTATTACTACTACCGCTTGCTCACATTGCTATATTTTTTGGAAGCGATCGTACGCTAGCCTTACCAGGTTTTACTACTGATTACAAGATTCAATCATCAATAAGGGGTAAAACATGGTAAAACCAATCAAGTGATTTCTTCTTGCGTGTTTTCTGATGGATACAATGCTACTGTGTAAAGGTTAACATTGAACGTTCGTTGAACATGCTTAAGAACAACCTCTCGCTTCACTCATAACCAAAGCTGGACTGGTGCAGTAGGTGCCTGAAATTTGTACATGGCTTGCAGTAATGTATGAGGCATCCCATTCCATCCCATGGAGAAAATCTCCAGTTTTTAATGACCAAATGGATGGGTTCCAAAATGTTGAGAAAAGATCACTTACAAAGCGTTGGGTATATCTGCAATTAGATGCGCAATTAAACTATGGTTGGCGTCATAGCGTATTTTACCACCATTTTAGATCATTTTTGCACACTATATCAGAGGACAAATCCCTCTAGCTTGTTATACTCCACTATACCCTTGCGCAAGGTAGGTTGATGGTTGCTTATGCCACATTATGCCACTATACCCCCATCGAAATCATCAAACATATGCCAGGTTTCATTCCAAAATTCGCACACCGAGAGACATCTTGCTTGGTTAATGTTGGTTATATCCCGTTCGATCCCCATGAGGCCTCCCCGATTTAATGTCAACCCTGGGTTCATAAACCGTAGGGTACAGTACCATTTGAGTAGCAAAACATCACTATTTTGGGGAAACCCCGTCCTTAATCGACCAGGCTTTATGAATCTGGGGTTGACACAATCTTTTACCGTGACTTGAATTTGGTTCATGATCATCTCCTGGTGAAATTCCTGTAAATCATTCATTACATACACTAACCAGTAATATTAACCAGTACATCATGTCAACATTGATACTTACCATTTATCACCAATAAGCAAAGGCTCAGCTGTGAAGAGCTGAGGTCCGTTAAGATGCGATGAGCTGAGATGAAAAAGAAACAGATCCTTTAAAATCCCAGGAGTATCAATATGTATCAATCATTATTAATGTCAACCCTGGATTAATAAACCCCAAACGGCTGTTTAATTGGGGGGGGTACCATAAAAAAGTATTGGATGACATGACTATTGGAGGAGTATCCCCCTAATTTTCATAAACCATGGTTTAGTCTCATCCGGGGTTGACATTATCATATTAAAAATCAATATTCACCAAATGTAATATTAATCACCAATGACAAGATCCCATGAAACTATGTTGCTGCGGTTTCTGCAAATAAAAAGGATCCCATCCATATGTATCCCATATTGATCACCAATAATAGGATCCCCTTTTTGAGCATTCATCATTCATCACCAATATATTATTCATATATAACATATATACATTTATACATGTATATATATATATATACATAGTATACAGTGCCCACCTGGGACAGGATTTTGCCAAACTTGGGCAGTGGCCGAGAATTCAACCAGATCAGCAAAGAGCCGCAGCGAACTGCAGCAAAGAGCCGAAGATCCAAAAATATACATATACATATACATATACACATACATATACATATACACATCATATATATATATATATATCTTTTATATATATATATAGATAGATAATTATATAATGTAATGTAATTATATATGGATTCGAAATATAGATACAATATGTAAATCCCATGAATCATCCAAGAGACGTCCGCATCAGCTGAGCGATCTCCACTGGTGAGCTCCGGCGCCGAGGCCGAGGCGGCCGAGGCCGAGGCCATGGCGAAAGCGGGGCCGCGTTGCGGTCATTGAGACGACGCTGGAGCCCAAAAAACATGGGAAAACACGTGGATTTTGATGGATTTTTGAAGTTTGTTTCTGAATTTCTCCGTTTTGACTTGGTTGGTTTGTAAAGATGAGTGAGTAAGTGTGTTATTCTGGTGAAACAGCAGTAGATTTTTGTGGATGTTGTGGATGTTCATTATTGTAAATGTTAGATAATGTTAGTTTTCTCCAATGGCTCAGGGAATTGGGGTGGTTAGACGCACAAGACTTGAAAACAAGGTTTCCATGCATTGTTCATCCAAATCCAATCAAATCGACGGATACTTCGGGATTGCGGTGTGCATTTGATGTTTGAAACCAATAGTGAGAGGCAAAATTATGGATTTCAAATCATCGGCATTGTTAGCATTCTCTTTTAGGGAGAACAATTCCACCACGATGCCTGTGGGAAAAACGTGACAATATTGTGTGATGATCCTACTGGTAGTTGAAATCAACAGCTTGTCACTTTCTGAGGGCATTCCCGGCCCGCTCAATCCATCAAAATGTTTGCCTCCATCGTGGTGGTTCTGGGGCCTCAAACCCTTCACCAAACAACTTGCACAGCCAATCTTAGATACATTTAGATACCCTCGGCACAACTGGTTCATGGGAGAATGGACTGACACCCACAAAAGGATGCAAAGCAAAGCCGTTTTGTAACATGCTAGATGACCTTCGATCCTCCTATTTGGATGGTGGCTCCCCGTACTCATCCAGGTTCAGTTGAGTATGGCCCAATCTTCTAAGGAGCAGGCCGCCAACACCGCTGGTTGGAACGCCACTGGTGGGGCCTCTGGAGCTTTCAGCCAGCCATGAAGAGTGTGACAACAAAAGGTCTCAACTAATCCCATTCCGCTCATGTTAAACAGACCCGAAATGGTTGCCAATATGTGTAAATCCTGAATTAACCCATGGTTTCTGGGAGGTATTTTAGGGGGATCGGATGATGAAACTCACGACTAAATGTCATGGGCTTACATTGTCAAGTGATCAACTGTTCAAACTTAAACATGTGTTTAGTTTGTTTGCTTGGATCTTTTCTCTTCTGTGTCGGTGGTGGTGCATCTGTTCACAGTGGCACCAGCACGCCTTACTCTCAGCAAGGTATGGAGTGGTACAACTCAAACAGTGGGTGACAGAGGTACCGAAAGTTGCGTCATTTTCCCCATAAAATGGACCTTCCAGTTATGGCCAATCGAACATGGGACAATGATCATGAACCCTGAGATCTGGGGACCCTGTTTTCAAACAAACCCTTAACAGGGTCTTGGGAGGGATAATATGAAGACTGGGCCGAAACTGGCTTTCGTTAAAAATGCCAGTGTGTCTTGCTTCTTTCGTGGCTTACCGAGGAATATAGATGAATATAGTCTTAATATAGTAGATACGGGCATGGGGCCTCTCCTTGTTAAGCATCCCAAGATTGCCAGCGGATTAGGACACATAAGCATGGCTCGAGCTGGTTCCTCACGCGGCATGCCAATCTGAAGGTGCGTGGATACAGGGAAACATTTGCATATAGCTTTGCTCTTGGCACCCGGGCGGGAATGCGATGGCGAGCTTAATTCTACTGATCCAGCCTGGGGAAAAAAATGGAGGGCCGTGATTGTGCTGATCCCCCCCTGAACAGAAAGGGTTGTTGAGGGTGTCTTAACCACCAACAACCACTAATAAGCTCTTGTTAACAATCTATTATTGGGGTTGGCTGATACCCATGATGCTTGCGGGATCTCTCTCTAGCGGTGAAGTAGGCCTGTTTGGATCTGGCTGGTGGTTTTTTTCGCGATCCTACCTTTTTTGTGAATCTACAGCTCAGACATATTTGAAACCACCAGCCCAATAATTAGAAGTTATAATAATTATAAGAAAAACATGAAAAGTCATGACAAAAAACATGAAAAGAGGGCGTGGGACGCAAATGACTTCATTCCTTCTTTTTTGCTTGGTTAGCATCAAAAAAGGTGCCACAGGGCGCATCAACAGTCCAGGCCTCTGAAATATCGAAACATCAGTTACGAATTTATTGGGTGAGATCACACAACTACAAACATTACAAAACTAGATTGATGACTGACCCAAATACCGATGAAAACTGATCCATGGATCAATAGGTCAATTTTGTTGAATTTTAAGACTTGAAGACCAAGAGCTAATCACTATGAATCCCAAGCCTGACATGAAACCCAGTTTGAAATGGTTTCTCATATGCATTCAACACTTTACACATCATCATTTGTGAGGCTTTTGGGTGGGCCAGTTGGGTAAGTTGCACAGAATTACCGGTGGGCCCTACAGTGGAGCCGAAAAAATGGCATAATGTGTCCGCCCAGCCTCCGGTGGCAAACGCTCCAGTCCTAGGTCCGAACGAGCGCGCAGAGGAGTCACCAGAAGACTTCGGGGCTGTGAAGCTTCAAAATAGGAATCGAATCAGCATGTCCACCATGGAACTGTCCACTTTGATCACTTTGGACATTTCCAAGAAAGGATCTCAATATCTAATATATCATAATATATCTATGATGAAAGTGGCCCTTCTCCAGTCCTTTCATCCTTATTGAAGTTATCCCGTAGAGATATCGTTTCTGGGCCCTCGCACCAAAGCTTTGGCCCTGGCCAATCCTGAGCCGGCAAAGCCCGAAAAAATATGGGTAATATATGGGGGGTTCCATACATGGAGGATCCCCCACCCATAGGATCCATGGTGCTGCTATATATGGTAACATTTACCATCAATATTCCCCCAATGTTAGTATATATACCAGCACCATGGATCCTATGGGCCAGAAAATCCACAAAAAAAACATGATGATTTAGGGATACCCCGATTTTGGGACGCCAAGGTTTATTCCTCCGCAGTTGACATGAGAATTGAGACAAAGAAACATTCCCCTTGATTGGTGGGTAGCACGCTACGGGGATGGTTGTTTTCGCATTCCGGCGGGGTATGATCACCATCAATTTTAACTCCAAGCCGGGCAAATCTAGTGAAACGACTTAAATTGTTATGTTTTATGAATTAACGCTCACTCGTTGGATAAGTCAACTCACAAATATTTGATGGTTGAGAAAAACTGCCAGTTGTGTTGATTCAATTCCCAATGTCTGATGGTCAAATTCCAATGTTTTTTTGTAAATCCCCACTTTTGTTCAGCAAAACGCACAACTTTGGTTTGTTTAATCAGCTTATATGTTGTTGGATCGCAACCTTTAATGCTTAAATCCTGATATTCGTTGGATAAACATGGGCAAGCCAGCGCTTCTGTTAGACAGTAGTAGGGTCGACTCACATTTTTGTGAGTAAAACCGGCGGATTTACTTTAATTCCATGCCTGCTGATTGCAATCCAAAGTGTGTAAAGGTTCAGTCCCTGTCTTTAATGCACAAGTGTCCATTTGGGTAGCTTGAACATGGTTGAACCATGTTGAACCACTTAGCTAAATGCTAATGTTCATGGCTCTAAGCATATCAAACCATTATCAGAAAATCTCAGAGGTGCACAAAATCATCCATTTTGGAATATCTCACCATCTAAAATCACCGTCCAAAATCCAAGACCACGAGTTTTGCAACGTTTTTCGTCGTGCGTTGTCTTTGAGCTGCAGGTCTGTTGGGCGTGCGCAGAACCCCACGGGGAATCCCCTCACGCGTCCGCAGTGATGCTCTTGGCTTCTGTAGATTCCAACTCCTCTGGATGTGTCACCTAGCCGCGGATAGCCGCGGGCTGGGTTCTGGATGATGAACCAGCTGCATTCATATGTAAGCACTGGATTTATACAATATTTTAATGTGCACATATATACACACGTGTGCATATTATGTATGCTGTATATAATTATATAATCAACCCCATGTGCATATATGATCATATATGTGTGTGTGAACATATTTGTGCATGTTTGCATTTCTGTGGCTTTTTTGTTTGTTTACATTTACGAACGGTTATGAATTCCGCTGAATCTCGGTGAGATTTTCCAGGTTCTCTCCGGTAATCCAACATGGCAAGCTGAGATTTCAGTTGGGATTCCATTCAGAACTCCATGGTTATATAAGTTACATATATTCCATTAGAATCCCATGATATATCAGCACTACATGTACAATATAGAAAAAAAACACATGATATATCAGGACTATATGTATAAATATACATATATATATATATATATACATATTCCGATTTATACCCCATAGGATCCATGTATGCTATATATGGTAACATTTACCATCAATATACCCCAAATGTTAGCATATATACCAGCACCATGGATCCTACGGGTATATATTCAATGGGAATTTCAGGATCCTAAAATGGAGGTACTGTACCATATAAGGCCTATATAAGGCCTATGTAAGGGGATATCCCCACAAAATATGGCCTTATATGGTACAGTACCTTCATTTTAGGATCCTGAAATTCCCATTGAATATATATATATATATATATTCCATGATAGTCCCATCAGAGCTTTAAATCCCCGGCCTTGAAGGTGGTGGCAGCTAGCATCCCTGCAAGCAACTGCACCAAGCCATAGCCTCAGATCCAAAAAAATATCCTCTGGTGACTAACATAGCTATTGAAAATGGGCATAAAATGGCCATTTATAGTGGATTTACGGATTTGCCCATTAAAAATTGTGATTTTTACCGGAGGGTATGTTCGGTGACTTTCTCAACCAGCGAAAGTATTCGCAAAAATCACCAACTCAACGAGCGTTTGTTTCACTTGGTGTTCTTGCGAGCGTTCTGAAAGAAAATGACGTAATGTTCCCACGTATGTGTTGTTGTCACACTATCGGTTCCTCTTGATGTACTTTAATGGACTTTCTTGAATCATCGGAGCAAGTTTTTAAGGTTCACTCCGTTTCATTTCTGATGTTTAAGCGTCATGTCAATATGCCTGAATATAAGATTGCAAAATCTGCAAAACCACCATCGCCAAAAATGACAATAATCAATTCATCATACTTGATTCATCATAGTTGATTCACCATACTTGATTCGATTTGTGAAATCACCATAACTTACCCACCACGTTTTAATTTCTCCACATGTTTGAAATTACCAAAAGAACACATAATGAATATCCTGAGCATCCCATGTCTGCAAATGGTGAAATCAGAGATTTCCTAAAATAGGCGTACCCCTAAATCATCCATTTAAATATGATTTTCCCTTATCAACATGTATAAACCATCTGCCCCATTTTAGGAACCCCCCATTTTTCGATGGCAAAGTCCCCAAAAATCGGCTAACCGCCGGGTCGCCGATGGCATTGCCCATGCCGCCGCCCGACAGGGCCAGTGCTGCGCTCACCGCAGGGTTCAGAGCGCCACCTGAGACGTTGCCAGCCGCGAAGCCGCCCACGACGACGCAGAAACCGATGGCCAAACCTGGGACGTTTCAAGGGATGGGGATGATCTAAGGTAATCCTAATACCTATATATATATATGTTACATATAATTGTATTGAAGTAATCTTTAGTCAGTGTTCAAACTCACATCTTCCCAATCCAAGTTTTTTTTTGATTTAGTACTTATTAGATCCGCCCAATCGGTGTTTAGTTCATGAGCAACAGTTCCTGAAACGGGGATTTGTAGTTCCTAAAGCGTAGTTAGTGAAGAATGGATAGTTCCTGGAGAAGAGATCTTTCATCTAATCACAGTGAAATTCTAATGGAATAAAAACGGAAATGCTGGCTGCCACCATCCTCAAGGCACAAATGCAAAGCCCAAGATGGTTGGGTTTGGTGCGAGTACGTTGGAAAATTCACCATATAGGAAAATCAACCAACAATCATTGGGGATTTAACCACCTATAGATATAGTGGGACTTTCATTGAGAATGTAACCATGGAGTTTTGAGTGGAATCCATTTTTATGTAATTCGGTACTCTGAAATGCTTTGCGATTTTGGGCTTCCCCCGTACTAACCAGAATCAGCCAGTGACTTCTCGGTGATGTCGTTACGAATCCCAGATCTATGGGATATTTGGAATAGATCACTTGGATGATGCGTTGTTCAATGGTGGGAAACTCGTGGGGTAAAAAGTACCCAGAAGATTCACCACGAATCTATGGGGAAGTGAGAGAAATCTCTAAGTTTCACCGCAAAAATATGTCCGCCATAAACTCAGGGACTGCAAACAGATCAAACAGTTATAAGATGTTAGAAGCCAACTTACGGACATGGAGAAATGCTTGGATGATCTTGGATGGATAGATGGATATGTTTTACACAAACAACTAGACAAACTGATTAATTATATTGATTGCTTGGTTGATTGATGGATTGATTGATATATGAATTGATTGATTGGTGAAGAATATCTACATGGGATCAGTTACCAAGTAATCACTGAGGATCATCTGGTCATTGAACCACCGTAGCCATGGCTTGAGAATGGAATGCAACTACTTTTGGGGCATATGTAGCTTTTCTATGATTTTATGTGTTTTTTTTGGGGGGATCAAACCTGTCCAAACTGTTTTGCACATTTAAGCCACGCTGAAAACGGCCAAATCTTCAATAATCTTCATGAAAAACTTGTGGATCTGCTGCAAGAGCGCAGTGAAAACTACGGTCCGAGAAGATGTGTGCCCTTTTTCAAGTGCATATGCACACAGTATTATAGTGTATTATTAATTATCATTTGTCTAAATCAGGTTGCTCGATGCTATCAGTGCAATCTTATGTGCATGCATGTAGAATATTAATCCACATAGTATGTGTGTGTGTGTCTGTCTGTCTGTCTGTCTGTCTGTCTGTCTGTCTGTGCATGTTTTGAACATATATGTGTACAAATATGTATAATATATATATATATGTTATAGATATATATATATAGAGAGAGAGAGAGATTCTATTAGTATATATATGTATATATAACTATATAGAATCTATATGTGTGCGTTGTGCGTCCCTGAAGTTATACTACGTATATATCAGGTATATAGTATAGCCGCTTAGCCAGTAGAGGACCTACCCGCAGCGCTCCGCGCCAAAGGGCCAAAGAAGTGAGAGCTCCTAAGGGCAGGGACGACGAACAGGTCAGGTGATGTGAACGGGTCATGTTGGATCTCCATACCGCAGGCATAGTCTAAGTCTAAGTGATCTATGTAGGTAAACATATGTAAACGTGCAGCGAAATGAGATCACCGTAGATTTTCCAAATTCTTGGGTTACCCGCATCTTGCTGTTCCAAAGCTGGAGAAAATGAGCAAATTGGATCGACTTTTTCAACTGAGAAAAAAAAAACGGGATGCTTCGCTGGGGAGATTCGCCGATTCGCCACCAAGGTGGTGGCTGGTGCCCTCAACACTTACGAAGGGGACCTTTGTGGTTGAATAATCTCTTGACATCAACCAATCCTAGTGGTGGCGACCATGGAACATCATGGAACTTTGACCCCATTGGCACCTGTTTTTTTGGGGATCCATTGAAATTTCCATCCATTTCCGATTTCCAAGTGGTGTTTACTGTTTACTTACAGGAGAGTACTACATACATACATTGGGATGTCATGGGGCTCTGTGATCTGACTCGGGTGCAATGATCCACCAATGCAAGCCTCCCAGCGGCATTCAAGGCACTTTGTGACCGCGGACACTGCCACGCTTAACACCACATAGGCCAATGTGAAGGTGAAGATAAACCTCAGAGAAACATACGTTGCTAAAAATCAGTGGGTTTAACATGGTTTAACCACAAGAATTAAGTTGAACAGTTCGGCTAAAAATGTGTCAAGGATGAAGATTTTACACAGAAAAAACCACGACCACCAAGGAGATTTCACCATCAAACATGCAGTTTTCACCATGATTTTTAGTGGAAATCACGCTGGCAATCGACCAATGGACAACCCCCTCCGTATACATTTCTGGATTTTCCATTGCCATGTTGAATCTCAACGTTGAAAAATCAATGACGATTTCACGTGCAAATATATCATTCATGGACTACTTCTTGTTGTTGTTGGTGGTGGTGGCTGATGCTGTCGTTGCTGCTGTGGCTGCTGTGGCTGGTGTTTGATTTGATAATAGGCTTCAAGGCTTGGATCAAGTCCCTAAAATAGACTGTTATGTGCCTGTTTGCGGCTTCCACATGGTTTTGACCGAGCTTTATGAAATGAAAATTTGCTCATACCCCTACATTTACACGATGCTCTGATTTCCGTCGTCAACTCCCCAACTTGGGCTCATTATCTCCCCCATCTTCAGTTTGGGATCCCCATCAAGACATATCAAGACCGTATCAGACTGAAAGCAGCCCCTTCAAAATCTTCAAACAAAAACAAATAATGAAAAAAACAATCAACAAATCACTACTTTCACCAACTTTCCCATCTTTTTCAGCGCTGAGCCACTCCACTAGCAGTGCTGAGGTCAAATGGTAGGGCCCCTTGGGTTCCACAGGCGGCAAAGCTTTGCTTGCAACACCCACGCCAATCAAAGTTCCCACGCTGCCTGAGATAATAACAAAAATGAGGATTCAATGATTCAAACGAAACATCTTGAATACCCTCTGGTAAACAAACATAGCTATTGAAAATAAATCACCATTTTTAATGGGTAAATCAACTATAAATGGCAATTTTCAATAGTTTTTTGTATGTTTACCAGGCCGGGTAAATGGGACTTTTCACAAATGGGGGATCACCAGGAATTCGCTGGATGGTTTATATAGAATGAAAAATCCAATTATACATGGATGATTTAGGGGTACCCCTATTTTAGGAAACCTCCAAATGGGGATTATCCCGTTTTTCTTGATGTACTATGGGAATTATACCTACTAGGAGCTCCTTGCTCCTAAGCCCTGAAAGCCAGCCATTTCATTGTCACAAAGATGGTGATTTAGACAAAAAAAATGGTTATATGTGAATATATCCGGTTAATATCCATTGATATTAATATTGTATCACCCATCAAGCACCATTTAGTAAACTAAAATAGTCATGGAAAGTGTCAAATCCATCGATTGCGTGTTTCACGGTTTCTCCAAGGCGGGGAGAGCAAAGAAGTTCGTCTGAAAGCATGAATTTGGAGGTTTCCTAAAATGGGGTACCCCCAAATCATCCATGTCAATAGGATTTTCCATTGTATACATATACCATATACATACATATTATAATATTTGTATATAAAGGCCATCCAATTGCGGGTAATTACCGCCATTTACATCCATTTACTTCCATAATTTTGATTTCTGCGGGCCATTTCCAACAGGAGACAGTCTTGCAGACACTCTGTTTGGATATTCCATGTTTGGTTTCAAGGTGTTGGTGACATGGAGCAGCTGAATGCGTTCACAATGGTCTATTGGTAGTCTAATGGTAGTCCGTTGGTAGCCTATCGGATCATGTTTGAACCCAAAGTTGCTTTACTCCATACATAGCTCATAGGCCCAGATTCCATTCTTCAAACTCAATGATTTGATGCTTGAACCTTGAAACTTATGCTGAAATCCATGATTTTTGTACTGGCCAAAGGTAAAAATCCAAGGTGTTCACCATGGTGAAGCTCCTTTTTTCAGTGAACAAACTGCATACTTTCGCCGTCACCAATCGCCACGGGCCTCCAATAATCTGCACCAATGCATAAAGAAGCGCCTTGCGCACCTTTTGCCCAAAAAGCGTGCCCGGGGCGTGTCCGGAATCTGGGGAAACATCAATAAATTTCAGCCAATTGATGGTTGATGCTAAGTTAAATAGCAATCTGCTTGGTGGTATACCTACCCCCATCTATAAATGGATGATATGCATGGTTTATAGTGGAAAATACCATCAACAGTTAAATACCAATCAACCATGGTGATTTTTTTGGTGTTTATGGTATGATACTATTAATGGTGATTAATCATATCCAATAAATCTGGCTAAATACCAATCTGGTTGGTGGTATACCTACCCCTCTGAAAATATGAGTTCGTCAGTTGGGATGATGAAATTCCCAACTAAATGGAAAGTCATAAAAGCATATAAAAGCCATGTTCCAGTCACCACCAAGCAGCAATTTTTCTCCAATAATCACCATGTTGGTATGTTCTAACATCTTCAACCAAGTCAGGGGGGCTCATTTCTAAGGGATATGCAGCACATAGAAACATGACAGGACCTCGTAAAAACCCACGAAATCCGTCAACAAATCTATATCTTTGGACATCTCCCATTGTTGATTTCGCTCTGGCAGCGACGACTAACAATAAGGATCCTATACTTTAATTATGTGACGCTAGTGGAAACTCCTGGTGAAGGCCGCGACCATCATTGAATTGGCTTTACCCCACAATTTGGCATCAACTCGCCCAGTGACTGTGAAGCCCCTGTCGCGGCCGGAGCAAAACACAGCACAACTCACCGCAGGGTTGAAGTGGCCGCCCGATACATCCTCAGCTGAGATTGAGACAAGGGGACGTTGAGTGTTGATAGGTTCCTATTGGTTTAGTGAACCACGAGGTTTTCCATTTTCCTATTGGTCTAGTGAACCACTATATAGGTTTACTGTCGGGCTTATGGTGATTGAACTAAGATTAGATGGAATTAGAAAGCAACTTGTAACTTGGGGGGCCCACATTGTGGGCTATAGTTCAAACTGACTTCAATATAGAAATGTTCGAAGGAACTTTTTATACTTGGTTCTGGAATATTGAGTTATGAAACAAACGCAATCACTTTTTTGAAAACCATGTGGGTAAACAAATGATCATTGCTAGAAATGAAGACACAACGGCACTGGGAAGAACCTTGCCATGGGTATTTAGATCAACCCCAAGCGGTGGGATGGACTGGATGGTGATAATGTACTACCTGAACCGATGAAATCCCAATTTTGGCCAATCTCATCTCCTTTTTGACAACACCTGGAAGTGCCTATGGCCTATGGCAGTTTCAATGTGTTTCGATCCAGGGCTCCAGCTACCACATCGGTGATTCAGAAATGGCACTAGGATTTCAGGGGAGGTTTCCTTTTCTGACTCATTGTATTATACTCGGAGGGGGTGCTGATATCTCTTATTCTCCATAAACCTGATTAACCTAAGGTGAGGAATGGGATCTTGGGTTAGACGGTTAGACCCCAAAATGAGCCTCTGGTGCATTCAGAAAATTGCACATGGAATCTCAAAATTGCATTTCCACAACTGGAATCCTCCTTCAAACCCATTTTTGCGGGAACTCAGTGATGGCTTTCCGGGCACGACATTGAGACCACATTCGCCAAAGGCCAACCCATACTCCGGCTGAGCTGGCACTACATAGTCCTTGATTTTAGCTTAGCTACAGATGGTCAAATGATTCACAGGCCCATCCCATGACCAAAACAGAGTCCAGAGTCCAAACCGCCCATAAATTTCTTCCCACCAGTCCCATCTCAGCCGCTTTTTCACGCACGGAGCTCACATGTTATCACATGTTCACCAATCGACATTTCAAGAGTTCCTGAGGTGCTGCATCATGCCTGCTCCACAACAACTCACTTCTCACCACAGGATCTTGGTCATAGAGCGGGATACGCGTGTCAGACAGATTCACTTTGGGATTAGAGAGAAACACCTGCCACGGAGTCGACGGAGTCGTGGGCATTGAGCACAGCCACAAGCCATAACCATATTTGTTGGACGTATCATATGTCCTTTTGGTATTTATGTTGGTGAAAAAAATGTTTGGGTCATCTTGGCGTGCTCATTGGTTGATATTGCTTGATGAAGGTCGTTCATGTTTCTTGGTGCTTGGCACAACCCCCGCGTTTGGCTACAACCCAATAGGTCTGTTGATCAATTCCTTGGTGAAATCCTGCAAAGTCTGATGGATGATCCCCCAGCTATACCCTCTGGTAAACTAACAGTTTGCTATTGAAAATGGCACATTTCTAGTTGATTTACCCATTAGAAATGGTGATTTTCCATAGTTATGTATGTCTACCAGAGGGTACCCAGCTTTTTGAACCCTATGTCTGTTCGGGGATTTCCCAGCTGGCCATGTAACTGATTACCATGCTGGCTACATCCCCGTTTTACCAAGGTGGTGCCCACCAGTTATTTTAAGTTGCGGAAAAAAAACACATCATGGAGTAGTTCCATAATTATATCCTATATATTTATATATATATATACTCTTGCAATCTAATGTAGCTATTGGAAATGACCATTATAGTTGATTTACCTATTCAAAATGGTGGTCTTCCATAGCTATGTTAATTTGCCAGAGGGTAAACCATCGTTTATCCGCAGAAATGCCATCGCAAGCACCTCAAAGAGATCCTTGTAACCTCTGATGGAGTTGTTCCTCAGGAACAACTGGAATCAGTTGGGGCTATGGCTCAAGTCATTGGGGCACTAATGGGTGCACAAAATGAGTCGATTTTCTTATGTATGTATATATATATATATTGCTAAAATTGCAAAATGATAGATAGATAGATAAGTAAAGATAGACACACATAATATGATTATATATCATATAACATGTATGTATATGTAATGTAAACCCTTATTAAACCACTTACTTGACCAAACAGTATCAAACAGTTTTGTTTCACGTTCTAAGGACTTTTTTGGGGGATTCGTTGGGCTTACCGGGCTGAAAGTCGCGAAGAAATCCTCCTTCCAGCTGCTTCCCCTCACCGTGCCATGGCTGAAGTTCATCTTGACACATTTCTTGTGGCAAAGATCACTGGTCCATTGCTTGCTGGTGCTTAGTAGGGAATGAGGGAATGATCCCATCCATAACTATTAATAATCCCATTCTCCCATTGCCATCCATTCCCTACTAAGCACCAGTAAGATTGGAATGGAGAATCAAACGCCATTTTCCATTGTTGCTCTGTGGAATAGTGACATCATCCATTGCTGATAATCTTGGTATAACCATGAATACCCACAAATTGTATGACAATTAGATACGCATTAATAATCACTAATCACTATTGAATACTATTATATAAATAACCTTGACATAATCATTATTATTAATGTTTAAATAACCATTGAATAATCATGAAACAACCCATTAGATAATCATGAAATACCCTCTGGTTATTTAACATCGCCATGGAAAATGGCCCATTTATAGATGATTTCCCCAGCTATAAACCTCCATTTATTTTGGGGATTTTCCATGGCGATGTTAGTCATAACCAGATGGTAACCATAAAATCCCATCTCGACATAGTATTAATCAATGATGTTTAAATAACCATTGAATAATCATGAAACAACCCATTAGATCATCATGAAATAACCATAAAATCTCATCCCCGACATGGAAAATCCATGAAAATCCCATGGTCCAGGCTCTGTTCCACGCTGCCTGAGCCGTCCAGGAAGTGAAAGACCACGATCTCTTCCAGGTCACCTGTCCAACCTGGGGAAGGTCGCTTCAGTCGTTCAAGATGTCCAAGCGCTCGGCCGCGCAAGTCAGTTAATCCACCTCAAATAATATGGTTTATAGATTATAGATATCTGACTTGGATATGATATGATAATAGTTATACTTAGTACTTGAATTATTTATACTTATATATAGGGTATGGGTATCCACTATCTGGTTATTTGACAGTTAGCCATGGAAATCCACCATGCTATTAATCGGTAAACCATCTACTTCTATGGGCCATCTATACCATGGCGATGTTAAATAACCAGAGGGTAGATATAGATAAATATATTATAAGTATTGTATATCTGACATGAGATCTTTATTGCTATGAAAAGAAAACCGCTGTAAGCACATATACAATCATAATATATATATATATATCTGGTCAATTTAATTTAGCATCTTGAAACCACAGCTTTTCAGATGACCTTCAAGACTTCTTCGCCCACACTCCACCCAGCCTATGGCTATAGATCCAGATTGAAGCATTACTGGGCCCTCAGGGCCCTCAGGATTGGTGTTTTTTCAGTGTTGACACATCAAAAAAAAAAACCATTGAACCATCCATTTTGGATCATTGTTCCGGTTGAAAACTTAACCCGTAATCGAATATATTCATATAACGTCATCGTGTATACACACAATATATATATATACACCATACAGTATTACATCCATGTAACGCCATTAATTATATATATATATATTATAGTGTAAAACATCCGACATCGGTCCGTCCGACCTTCAAAGTGGACTCCGTTGCTGGAATACACCTGCCATGTGCAGCGTTCCTCCCAAGGTACATTTAGGTGGGGCTGGGTGAACCTCATGTTCCTGTAACCAATGCTTATTCCAATTTGGGTGCTTTGCCATAGTGTGGAAAGCCATGCAGTCAAACCAAAGCAAATTCTGATCATTTGCGGTTGTTCATCAACATCAACCTTCAAAACATGTTTGGCTTTAGGTTTGCTATGTGTCCAAATCTCCAACTCTTGCAGATCTTACTGATTCCAGATTCTTAAGCAAACTTCGCCATCAAAATCAACGATTTTTCCAATTTTTCCCCAGAAGCCCTTTGATTCCTGACATCTTCCAAGGTGTTTGGCCATGTTTTGATCACCTGCCTTTCCCATCCCATCCCATCCCCTTAGATCACCTCATCACCATTCACCATTCCCCAGCGCCTTGCTGGTCACAAAGGCGTTTTGTGGATCCAGCAGCCCCCAGTGCGGCAGCTGCGGCAGCTGCGGCTCTGCCAAGCTGCCGTGGAGTGCCACACGTTCGACGCCCAGCAGCGCTGCGAAGGCCTTCTGGGTGAATTCGAACGGGTGGTGCCAAAGCCACAGAAGCAGCCTGCAGGTCTTCAACTTCCCCTGGCTACCCTCCGGACCCTTCGGTGTCAAGCGTAGCAGGAATACGAATCAAAGGAACTGGATGATTTTCCAATTATAAGCTCCATTTAGAGTGGGTTTCCCAGCTAGCCATGTTTGAATAGCCATGTTTGGATACCGGAAGATATCTTCGAAAAGGGTTGGAAAAAATGCTTCAAAAACATGGGCACGTGGGAAAGGTCCATTGGCTTCAGGCTGGGAACTTTCTCCAAAGTTTGCTGGCAATGGCGACAAGTAAATAGTTGGAAAGTTGGAAAATACATTAAGTTATTAAGTTATCTGTTTTTACGATAGTCAGCAACTTTTACCAAAGAACATTGGGACAAATCATGACAGTTCCATCTAATATATTTCTGTATAGTTGCTTAGCAATCTCGCAGATGTTGGGAACAAATAATCAAAACATAGACATAGAGGAGAGGATATTGCAAGATATCATTGATCATTGATCTGATTGATCTACATAACATGGAGAAGACACACTAGTCACACAACCTGCCAGGGGCCAGGGTTTTGATATCAGACCCTCACGCGTGGCCACTACATAGGCTCCAACAACTAGATGGTAACTATAGATCAGAGAGGAACTGCATATGCCCATGAATGACCTGCGCAGACCTTTGCCATTGAAATCAACATGATGCAACAAAGACCCGCTTATCTGTTCAACCAACATTTGATCAACATGATCAGTTGCTTATCTCCTGAACCCGCCATGAGTCGAAAAAAGACACAACACGGAAAGCACAGTGGTGCCTCTCCCAAAAGGCCACAGTCAAAGGATGCGACTTGGCAAAAATCACACCCGTGTTGAGACACTCGGTCCCAAAATCTCGACTCACCAGTAATTGGGTCTCCGCCAAATCCATGCGCGATTTCAGCGAAGGAAGTGGATCTTGCAGCAATACAGTGTCAAAGTCCAGGTAGAAGACATCGAAGCCTTGTCCTAAACATTGCATCGCCCAAAAAACCATCTCAAAACAGCATAGAATCATTGAAGAACCATGATTCTAACACTGTAAAAAAAAAAACACTATACGTATACTGGTGTTTAGTGCTTATAATATTAATTAGTAGGGAATGGATGGGAATGGGATTTTTATTGTTATGGATTGGATCATCCCCCCATTCCCTACTAAGCACCGCACCTGGAGGCATCCAACAATTCCAACGATGCACATCACTTAAATGCATCAAGTTGTGCATCAATTGATACCACATTAAGCTGTATTTCTCATTATTTCTCCAGCCCGACGTAAAGTCATGCCGGGTTTTTTCCCAAAGAGAAGAGAACATATTAAACATCATCAAATATCCCATGCCTCTAGAGACAGATTGTTTATTCTTCGTGGAGATCTTTGGCCCTGGAAAAAGTCTGCGAAAAGCCGCATATTGCAACACCCAGCATCTGAGTATAGATGTTATCCTCGGCACGTCGCAAAAAGGCATGGGAATTGCGAGTCATGGCCCCTACTTGGACATGGTGCCAGAAATAATCCATGGTCAAAGCTGAAAGATCTGAAACTACGACCTTGCCCATCTGAATACTCCGCCCCCAAATTGACCATGGAACATATGGCTCTTCAAAACAGGAAACACATCTCCAACCCAATTGGACCGGATCTGCGAATTCTGGGCATATCTGGGCTCGTTCATCCCGTTGGGCTTGTCGTTGCTTAAAATCACCGTGGTCAACACTTCAAGCACCAATTTTCCGGGAAATTAAAACATTTCACTAACCTGAAACCCATGACGGATCCATGGTGCTGCTGTATATGGTAACATGGATCCCATCAATATACCCCCTTTATGTTAGCATATATACCAGCACCATGGATCCTATGGGAAATAAGATAGATATATAACCATGTTGGGATGATTCCGCTTCCGAAGCATCATTCCAGGGCTCAGTCGGTCCCAGTGAGGTCGTTGTAAAATAACCCAGATTTTTGGTGGAATCATGACGTTTTTTTCGGCAGAATCTCGCTGTGTTTGTTGGGTACTTAAGTAAAATCTTGCAGAAATTTGGCTGGCTGTTGGCCTAAAGATGGTTGACATATCGTAAAATCCTCTAAACTCATCTAAAATCTAAAATCCACATGTTTGCTCACACAATATTTTGTGTCAATACTTTTTGTGTTCCGCTGGGAAATCAACACATTGCGTCTCTATTGAATTATCATGATGCAATTTCGCCAAACCGAGGATCATAGTGTGCTTGCTAAACAAGGAAGGCTGTCGCATTTCCACGCACAGCGACTTCCAGTGCACACGGCGGCACTCGTTGCAAGCAACCGCGTCACAAAGGACAAGGTATTGATGTCCATAACCTAAGTTAAAAGTGGACCCAAACATGCCCTTTACGTTTAAGGGACATTTTTGCATGGAACCACTTCTTATTCTTATGATCTGTGGTTCCAATAAACCAGGATAAAACCAGGCTTTCATGCAAAGTTTCAATGGAATACCGTTTGAATGAGCAAAAAGTTCGTTGGATGATGGGAACCTGGCAAAATGGGAACTTCACATGGCCATAGGCTTGAGATGGCTTGAGTCTACACCATGCATTCTGGGTACATGGAAGGCTGTGATGGACACCCTCAGTATATATATCTAATATATTAGATTCTTAAAAAAATGTTTCAAATAGTTTCAAACCACATTTGATCTAATTATACCAGTCAAAGCACATAACAAACTTTGAACCTCCAGACTCTGAACCTTCTGCTTCAAATAGTTCAAGTGTTCTACTTCTACACCTTCCCTGAGGCCGAGGAACCAAAGGCTTCAAGGCGCTGCACCTGAAATCGCAGATACTTCGCCAGGCGTTGTCCCCACAGCAGCGTGCACAGCACTGGCGGTGCCGGCGCTCCATCGCGGTCCCGGTGGTCCCAAAGCTCTTCCAAGGCCAGCAGAATCTGCCGCTGCAGTGGGCTGGAGCTCGGCAACTGCCACCGGAGCCTACAGCGGGCTCCATAGCTACCAGGTTACCATTTAGGGATGGTAAAACTATACCACAAATTGATGCTCATATTGGGGATTATCATGACTGCTAGCCGGTTTGCCACAACAGTGAGTTTACCATATTTTTTGGAGGAAGAAATGGGCTCAATCTTTTGTGCATGTTTGGAGGATGTTGATGATATTTTCTGGAAAAGCAGCTTAAGATATCTTAAGAATGAGGAGTTATACAAACTACCGTCCGGATCCCTCCGGTCATCAAACATGACATTCAGAAAAAAACTGACCACAATGATTTTCCGATTTTCTCATACAAATCCAAATTTATAGCGGGTTGCTAAAGGATATATATATATATATACAAACTATACATGGTATTTTTATGTATTTTTTGCACACTGCAGATCCACCAGTTCCCTCCCGTTGAGCAACGCCAACGTCCGGACCCAGAAACGCTGCGATGGACGGACGTCGTCGGCCCGGTCGATCTGGCACTTCGCCAAGGAGCTCCCAGGGATGGAACTCCAAGTCGTAGCGAAGACGACGCTTTGTGGCACGTTCGTGCAAATGCGCTAACCTCAAAAATCGCCATGCTATAGCTTTCTGATGCTTTCTGTATAGTCCTATATTTATATATATATACCCAGAAAATGGCAATGGGAAACTATATAGAAAAGCCGTTTGAGGTTTTTCAGATTTGTCTTGGCTAATGAGATTCTCGACTCATCCCTTTAGTACCAGCAACTTATCCCAGAATGGCCACTCAGAGAGGAAGAAGAAGTCCAAACCTGACAAATGGAGGGCAGCTTGTGATGTTGAAGTGTATGTGATCAATGGCATTTTGAAACTATAGGTGCATTATGAAAATGAACATGCAAACATGCATATTTAGCTTATATATCGGTGTGTATATGTGTGTTTGATGTGATCATCAAGAGGGTGGCTAGAATGGGCACCTGTTAGAATGTCTTTCAACCAGCAAAGGAAACCATAATTCTAAGCAACAGAGGGCATATCCAACAGATCCATGTTGAACCTGTGGGCATGGTGGAAAAAACATGAAAAAACATGAAAAAACCCTGGTGTCATCCCATACTGTAATTACATAGAACATGTCCCGTCTAAAACAAGGTAACCAGGATTAACCAGGTAGTCACATGCGAGAGCCACTGAAAAGCAAAGTAGAATCCAGTTTTTTTTTCTACCTGGAACCTGCTTGAACCCAACTGACCTTGAGATTTTTTGATGTTCTTGTATATCCCATAGGATCCATGGTGCTGATATATATGCTAACATTGGGGGTATATTGATGGGATCCATGTTACCATATATACATACATACATACATACATACATACATACATACATACATACATACATACATACATACATACATACATACATACATACATACATACATACATACATACATACATACATACATACATACATACATACATACATACATACATACTACATACATACATACATACATACATACATACATACATACATACATACATACATACATACATACATACATACATACATACATTACATACATACATACTTACTTACTTACTTTACATTACATTACATTACATTACATATATATATATATATTTACGTACCATACATGGATCCGTCATGGGTATGATATACTGCTTCGCCCTAAGTTTGATCCCAATTTTGGTCAGGCGATTGGTGGCGAACAAAACGGCCATGACATGGCCATGACACTGGATCTCCCAACTCGTTCTGCGAGCTGTTCCAGTTGATCCAACAGCAGTGCCACTTCCTCTGCGACGAGGCCTGGAGCCCGTGCGGTCAGCACGGCTAGTGGCGATGGGTTTCTTTATGTGTCATTCCATTTTTTTAAAGGGGAATTTATGATGGAATTTGGAACTTATATAAAATTAGATGAAATTGAACCTGCCCAAATTTGGGGGATCAATGATGATTTTTTTATATGTCATGTCATGGGTGCAGTCAATTTCAAGAATAAGGCTAGCTATAGAAACCAACATGACTCAGGGATATTGACAAATAAGTCACCATAAGTCACCAACATCAATGGATTATTTGAGGATACGACTGGGAAAGGCTCATAATTCATAATGATTCACTGGTCGGTCGTCCTCCGTCCCCAAGCACCAAATTTACCAAATCTTATTGGGGAGCTATCCCTGGCCCAAGCGATGCAGCTATGCCAGCTATGCCATGCCATGCCATGCCCCATGATTTCGGGCAGCTGGCCGTAACCCTCCGTGTAGAATTCCTGCATGATCAGAAGTTTTTCCAAAGTCGACGTCATGGCGCCCATGGGGCAGTCCAACATCTTGCCAGGATTCTCGCCAAACTGCTCCTGACACAGAACAAACCACTGACGGAGAAAAAACTGAACCAAATGAAGCAAATGCACCAACTGAAACACAACCTACAATAAGTGGTTGAGCCGTTGAGCCGCATAGTTTTGAAAGAGTTGGGAAGGGCAGCCCATTTTTTTGACCCCTCATTCTGTCTCTTGAAGCCCCCGCCAGGGCTTCGGGGTAAGGTGAAGGGTCAAACATCACAGGACCCTAAGATCGGGTACCATCTCTCCTCATAATCCGAAACGCCAGGGAGGTCAAACCAAATCAGGGAACCCCGAGGCTCTTCTTGAAGTTTCGCGAGGTAATTTGGCCAATCCACCTGGCTAAAGAACCGTTGCATGCCTCCCATCACCCCCCAAAATGGTTATCATGTGTGTATATATGTATATATATATAATGATTTATATATAATTATATATATATAATTATATATATAATTATATATATATAATTATATGCATGTTCACGTTGTAGAAACCAATTGACATGACATGTATAATCAAATATTATGCACCCAATCTGTTGGTTGACCTTCTTTTCTTCCCTCAAATCACGCCAGCGATCACTGACCTCATTGTTTCAACATGTTTCAAATTTTAAAAACAGAAAAATACCGTTGTTGCCAATGTTCCAACGTTGGCTAATGCCCCTTATTCCAGTCACACCCCAAAAAAGAGGACGGCCACCTGCCGGTTTCATGGTTTATTGAGTTTAGCTGTTTGGGACCATCAGTGGTGTCAAAATCCAGCACCTGCTTGAATGGCAAATAGTAAGTATCCAAAAAGTGGGGTGGCCGGGTGGCCTGCATTCGAAACCCAGGGCATGGCATCCAGAGCGTCTTGGAAGTTACTTGACAGGGAAATTAATTTCAAAGGTTGTTGTTTAAAGCTAAGGGAAAAGATCTTACAACCTATAATCCTCTATGGACGCAAGAAGATCAAAGGTTAGTGCACCCCCACAAACTCCCTCCAAGAAAAAAACGACCCCACCCCAAACCGCCCCTCGAGGGGCGCCGTCATCATTAATAATATTTATGGTGCGCTTCTAATCCGTATTTTCCGGGACTAATTATTGATACACTCAAAAATTTTACCATCAATAATAACCAAAGATGGTAAAGCAGAGGTGGGAAGAGCCAGAGAAGAGAAGAAGAAAGATCAGAGAAGAGAAAGGGTCAGAAGAAAGAAGATGCAGGTGCGCGAAAAGGTAGGAAAGTCGCGAAACATTGTGCTTTTCCAATGATCTGCGGCTCCGGAGGGTCGAAAAGTAGGCTCGCTAAAGCGACGGGTGCGGAGCCATCTGGCCAAATGAGAAGTGAAAAACTCCCGCCGTTGTAGCGCGAAGCACATTGGAAGTCAAAATGTACAAAACACCTCATGTTCGGACGACTTTTGGAAGCTGAGATGTCGAAAAAGTGCACGCCGTTATGGCGCGAAGCACATTTCCAAGTCAAAATGTACATTACACTACAGTACACTCCGCTTCACTTTACTACACTACGTTCAATTACACCACACCACACTCCAACTACAACTACGTTACACTACACTAATTACGTTGCACTACACTAATTACATTACACTCCACTACACTACATTACACTACACTAACTACAACCAGAACTACAGTTTCAACTACAACTACACAACACTACAATAGCACTACACTACACTGAGTACATTACACTACGTTCAAGTACACCACACTACACGACACCACACTACACTAACTACAACTACAGCAACAACTACGCTACTTTACACTACACTAGAGTACACTATTATGCTACATTACATTACCCTACATTACATTACACTACACTCATTACAAATGCAACTGCAACTACACTACACTAAGTACACTACACCACAACTACAACTCCACTACACTACCACTACAGCTGCACTACACCACACTACATCCAGCAGTTGTGGGTGAGGTGACCGACCAGGTGACCACTGCAACCATTGCAACCATTCCAAAAAACACAACTCCAACATACTCCAACCACCTTTGAGTCCATCAGTGGGTTCGCTCTGCCATCCGTGATTCACAACAACCAACCTCTCCCAAAAAGGTGTCCTATTTTGAAACTTCCGCCACCGCCTTGTGCGGTACTGGTGAATAGTATTACAGTAAAATATCTATCACCATTAATAATTACCCTCTGGTAAACTAACGTAGCAATAGAAAATCACCATTATTAATGGGTAAATCCACTATAAATGGCCATTTTCAATAGCTACGTTAAATTACCAGAGGGTATTTTCAGTACTAATTCCAGTTCCCTGAAACTAATCCTGGCGACCATCCCTGACGATCCCTGACCTCCCCCGGATCGCAGCGCAGACTTTGACGCAACGTCTGCTGGGGGTCCAGCTTGCTTAGGGCTTCAGCGTGACGGGAGGAGACCAAACCAATCAGCGGCCAAAATTCCTGCGGCTTTCCACCCGGATATCGGGTATAGATCGAAACTTAAGGCCCGACGATGAGACATTAATCTTGTTCTGTTTCACAATGACATTTTGCCCAATCAATTTTGAGCCGTAAGAATACTTCGTGTGATTTTGGGTGGTAAACCTTCAGACAGCCCACCGACCAAAAACATGTACAAGCAGAAGAAATTGTGCATTGTTTTGTTTTTTCTGTTCCCACTATATAATGCATTTTTTTTCCTAGTTTCCACTCTTGCAGCCCTGAAATCTGGGACGAAGCAGAAATCCATCCAGGATCGGATCCCGAATTTTTGTGGCAGTCTTCAGGATTCGGACATATGCACGATTATGCAAAGGTGCACCAGCTACCAACCTTTTAGCTGTACTAATTGTACGATATTAGAAGGGAACATCCAACACATTGAAGATGGCTACAGTCTTCATTGTTTCTTCCCTGGCATACTGCGTGCATGTCATGCAACATGGCACGGCACTCCTCAAAGAAGCGCGAGTTCACCAGGGATGGCAATGCCTGTCGGCCCATTTCCAGATTTTATTGTTGCTAAGGGCACTTCAGAAATGTCACATGATGCCATCATGATGCCATATGGAACCTCAAAGTGCCTGATATCTCTAGGAGAAACATGTCCAATACCAATCGGATTGGTGTTCTCAGTTGGTTTTCTGTAAGGTCGTGGCTTCCCATGTTCCCATCAGGATTTAGCGCACCCTGGCTGCTAGAACCATCTAGAAATGGGCAATCCATTGAATTCCAAAAAGATATAAATCCTTATATTGTGGTAAATATGTGTTGTTATGCTGATAAGTTTACGCACCTAATTTGGCTTGACAAATTTTAAATTATAACAAACTACATCGAATGACTAGATTATAAACTCATGTCCAAGTCCATATGGCCATCTGAAACAAGGTGATGCTGTGATGGCTTCCCCTTACCTTCCATTACGCATCTGCGGTGAGGTCAGTGGCGCATATGGAGTCGTTCGAACTCACCCAATTTTTATAGCCCATTGATTTTGAGACCCTTAGCTCCTTGCAGTCTTTGCAGCTCCTCTAAACACAATCTGTGATCATCATCCCAAACAATGGAACATGAAGAATGGTTGAGACCAGCAACCAGTCCTTCAATTCTTATTGTCACTTTCTGAGTAATGTGTTGGTAAAGCAATGCTAAAGCACCCATATTCTCATGGTTTATTAATTATTATACCATCCATTTATGGTAAAATGGGGGATGGTTTCCTATTGCTTTACCATGCTTTAGCTACATTACAAGAATATGGCTGTACACTGGGCAAACATTGGCATCAACTAAATGTTCATCCAGCAGCTGCAACTACGTAACTACGAGTTGCTACCTGTTACACTGTTCACTCTAGCCAGCAGGATATGATTATCACATATTATCAGACTTTCCTGTGAATATGGTTTCTTCCCACTAAAAATAGGGCCACTTTAGATCTGAAAAACTCTATGACTGTCTGTTGTTCCCCATGGCCGGCATCGCCTCCCCCGGCGTCAGCGAAAAAGGATTCTCAAAGAGCACGGCAAAGAGCTCCGTAGAGCCTCAGGCGTCCGGCAGTGGAAAAATAGGGTGGTAAAAACGACCGTTTCCTATAGCTCTCCTAGACCAACCAAATACATCTGCGCAAAATGCGATTATTTCGGAAACTTTCGGCCACTTAGATAATGCTAACAAACCAGACCGATGTTGCATTGTCAAGCCGACTATTTGGGGTCAATCTGATGATCATGGGGTAATGAGCATCCATTCTTGCGATGTTTTGAGTGACCATCACGCATGGTGAGGTGGTTGATAGTTGTAGTTGTGTTCTTCTGACAGTTGCCCAAAGGGTTGGTGGACTAATTAATTAAGATGGGATAAGATGGTCTATGGTAGGCTGGTTGGTCATGAAAAAAACGCCAGTGCGACGTGTGTGCTCCCTGTCAGGCTGCCCAGCACGAACTATGAGCCCATAGCAACACAAATTTCATGTATTGAGGGATGGGATCTCAGATCATCTTTGAACGGATCATTTCCAATTTCCAGAGCTGTTCAATCAGGCCTGTCATTTCTGGAGATCGCTCAAGCACCAGCTTCTGACACCAGCGCAGGAAGCGAAGCAGAGACAATGCATAGGGACACTCTTCCATCAAGACCACATCCTTCGGTTCGGTGAAGGGCTAACACCGGCCACTGACCTACTCAATCAAGACTCATCAGTGCTGCACCCAAAACAAGCGGAATCAAGTGGATGCAGGAGTTTTCCAGAACACGCCTAAGTGTGTTGCGTGGATTGTGTGATCCAAGGAATTACCAGGTAACCCACAGATATAACCCACAGATATAACCCACAGATATAACCCACAGATTTCCCACAGATTTCCCGTGGCTTCCCACCGCTTCCTGATAGATCGCTTCCTTCCAATACAGCTGGGGAATCTCTGCAGATCCCATCAGGGTGTGCTGCATACTTCTGGCTGCTTCCAGGATCTCTGAAGCCCGAGGATCCTGGGGCCAGATATGGGGTCCAAAAAATGAAAAATTGGGCCCCAAATCTTACTGGTGCTTAGTAGGGAATGGATGGGAATGGGGGAATGGGATCATTATTACTAGTGATTATGGATCATTCCCTCATTCCCTACTAAGCACCAGTAAGCAATTCATGGCAAGATATGGGAAGATTATGGCCTCAATTCTACTTTGTCCTATATATACTTTGCTCCTGGTTTTCTTGCAACCTCCAGGCGGGGGGTTATAACGACATGTGTATACCCCAAAGGTACGAACACCAGCTCTCTCAGTAGTTGAACCGCTTTTTGCTGGGTAAATTCTCCATGTCTGATCTAGCTGCTCATCACTGCATCCTCATCTAACTACACTCAATATCACTCAATGAACTCAAATCGATCCTAACATCAGCAATGCCTTTCTACTGGTTTCGACATCCCATTCATGCGAAGGTCAATTGGGTCAATTGGGTCAATTGGGGATCATGATCTCCCAAGAATGTTCTGGGAGCAGTTTGGGATGTGCCAAGTGTCGTGCAAACAGTCGAAATCCGGCAGGCCCTCTGAAGCTGCCACACTGAACTTCAGCCATATTTCAAGGCCAAGGTATGACGTGAGCGTTCGCATGGCTGGAGCCAAAATCTTCAAATGCTTCACATGAGTTACATTGAGTTACGTATCATCGGATTAAGATACGTGATGATTGATGTTTGCTCATGTTTCATGTGATTGTGTGTTCCTTAAGGATTCGATGTTTGATCATATGATGTTTGTTTCTCAGATTTTGACCGTGATGTCTTGGGCTGGCCTTCTGGCCAACTTTTGCAGTCCATCTGCATCAATCTCCCCTATCATGTCCAATGTAAATTTGAGACGTGATCCAGATTTAATAATATCAATCATATTAATGGGAAGTAGGAAGTCCATATATGATGTGATTGATATATGATATACGTAAGTATGGTAAATTTAATCACGCTTCTGGACTTCTGAAACCCATCATCCCCAACATACTTCGACCGCTTTCTCCGATCAAGAAAACCTGTGAGTTGGAAATTGACAACGCCACTTCCAAGGTCTCAGCAAGCAAACCCAAATGGCAAAAACTTACCATGTTCTGCTATTTGGGAGATTGGATGAATCTTCGAGGAATTGGGGTCCATGATTGCTTATTGAGTTCGCTTTGCAAACCCAAAGAGAGGAACGCAGCCACCATTACAATCTGTCTTTATCTTGAGGTACCTGTGTGTCTGTGTGTGCGCTCACATGAACTTCAAAGATTTGGGAAAGAACATGATGGAATTTAACTGTATATATGGGATTGTCCGAGAATAGGGCACTCCCAAATTTCATGGTTTATCATTTATCGGTTTATCATCAGGTTCTCATGTTTTCATGTAAATGTTCTCATTAAAATGGCGATAACTGAGGGTATCCCATGTATCCCAGCATTTTTAGAACACTTTATGTGGTTCTCCAGCCCCCCTAGCAGGTTACCACCAAGGCACCCCCAGGGCATAGATCATGGCCGACAGCGAGCATGCGATACTCAGGGCGCCATCCGGGTTGCTGGCCAAGATGTTCATCGTCACCGTCAGCACCAGGATGAAGGTCCCTAGGAATTCACCTCAGTTCACGTCGTCTTTCCATGGTCAATCTCTTGCTGCTTGGCTGGTTATTTGGTGTTATTTCTCCATGTGCAAAAAACTAAAGGATTCAACTACCAAGGTAGAGGATGTGTCTATATGTGCAATTGATGTGTGCATATCTTTCTACGTATATGTGTACGTATGCATGTGTAAGTGGAATGACCACTACACTGGTAGCTCCCACACCCAGTCACCTCCTTGGCCTCAAAGAGATAGGATGTTTCGTATCCAACCACCAAGATCTATGTAAGATCACCAGAAATCACCAATAGACAGTCCTCTGTCTTCCCAAAAGAACTAGTAAATCACCTGAACAAACAAATGGTTCCTTCACCCAACGCACAAGCGCAAATGGCGTCCCCGCCGCCGTTTTCCTGCAACACCCGCGGACTTGAGCCACGTATGTTCGAAAGATGCGGCTGCATCCAGAAACCCCTCGGAGATGCACAATCGAATGGAAGACAGGACACTGGCAAAATTCACACTGGTCACTCTTTAAAATTCGATTGTTACTCAATACCCCATTTTATCATTTATCCATGTTACCCCAAATTTACGGGTGGCGTTCTGTTTGAGCGTCAGGTCTTCGTCGTATATGCGGAACTTTCCAAGGTGAAGAACAGTTCTGAGAAAGGTAGCGTCCATTGCTTTGGTTAAACAATCTGCAAGCATGATTGCTGTGGAAACCCAGCGACAAGTTGTATGTGATTTGGATTGCTCTTTCAAAAGCATGACCTCTATTGTAGTCCTCCATTCTTGGCAGTTAGGGACTGCATTTTTGGTCACGAAGTCGTACAACGACTTACAGTCAGTGATCATCAAACCCTTATGTTCCTTTTCAAGTGCAGTTTCTGGTCGATGCCATTCAAAATTTGGATTACGGATGAAACCCCACATACTCCTTATCCAAGTTAGTTTATCGAGCGAGCTCGACATCGAATAGGCTTCGGCACTAAGGGTTGACCTCACTACTCTCCCAATTTGTTTTGAATGCCAGACTATCGGAGAAAACTCTGATGTTTCATTCACAGAAAGTTTGGGGGTACAAGCCATTATGAATAAACCTTGCTGTGCACTCAATTGTTTGGCAGAGGCAAAACTGGCGTCACCAAAACTAGCAAAGCAAACATCGTTGATGGGAATCGGACGAACAATGATGGATGTTTCTGCAAACTGTTGTGCCTCCTTTAGGACTCGGTTACCTTCCAGAAGTGTGCCGACTGTCGCACTGGTGATCCCCTTTTGGAGGTTTGCTACCTTAGTAGCTATATCTGGTCGGGAGTGGACTGCAGCATATTGAAGACTTCCACAGAGACCTCTGAGCTGTGTCATCTCTTGGCTGGTAATTGGACTCTGCTCATCTTTTCTGCGTAGTTTGGAAATATCAATTGGGGAAATTTTGTGAACGTATCTTCCTTGGTTAATTTTGATGGAGTAATCGGGCAGTTGTTCTATATCAAGTCCGGTAAATTTGAATTTGGAATATTCTCTTGATCCAAACGGCAGTGTTTTCTGAAGTCTTTCCAAAGCCTTATCAAAGTGGTGGTTACCTCCTCCAATACCGTCATCTACATGGGTTCCAAGTATTCCATCCAAAAGAGTTGGGTCCTTTTCATTACGCAAAAGAAACAGGCAATTGTCTAAGGGATGGGCGGTAAAACCAACTTCTTCAAGTCTCTTTCTGAACTCACGGTAGAAAAGCAACGGAGCATCCACTCTACCATAGGCATTTCCTTGAAGTAAGCATACTTGGGACTTATCCATGTTCATCATTTCCTTAAGCTCATGAGGTGCTTCCATGGCCAGTTCTCGGTCATCCGATTTTCCTCTTAGGAATGCCGTGGTTATGTCAAAGGACTGAACTACCCAATTTTTGCTGCAAATAGTCTGGAGAAGTAGCATTCGGGAATCCCTTGTTAAAGTTGGTGAATCAGAGCATAGTTCTCCTATGTCTGGATCTTGAAAACCCTTGACTACTAATCGGGCCTTTGCTTTTCTCCCACTGGAAGAATTGGGATCCTCTTTCCAAGTCAATATCCATCGAGATGACATTATTCGGCTTGGATGTATTTTATCCCTCATGATAGCTTTGACAGTATTTGTGTCCAACCAACACTTGAGTTCCTTACATTTGGCTGCTTGAAAAAGCTTCTTTTCTTCGGGAGTCAAATCTTGATATACCACCTCGTTGCGGGATTTCTTTGCAGCGGCCACAAGGCAGTCAAGATGCTCCTCGGGTTGACGCAGGAACTTTCGGAACTGTTGATTTGGGATCTCAAAAGAGAATGAAGCACAGGCGACCTCATACTGATCAGGTCGATGCCAATGAGATTCTTGATCTTCTACCAAAATGTCAGAATTCTGGGCATTTTCCAACATGACGGCATTGTATACGGGTTCCATGGTCACATTACCTGAAGTCCCATCTTCTGTTTCCATAGGATCGTCACCTGAACCTCTGGCTTCGTCCGTATCAGAATGGGTTGGGCCAATTGAGGCTTCATACTGTGAACTACCTCCGACAGGTGGTGCAGACGCAGGCGATTCAGGAACTGGTGTCTCCTGAGCTATTTTGAGTCTTTCTGCATCGGTGGTGATATCTATAGAGATCTTTCTGTTTGGTTCTTCTTCAGGCTGTGTGTTCTGATTGGGATTATGTTGATTTTGGTTATCGGGATTATTTATTGAAGGATTATTTTCGGGATTATCGACCGGGCCAATGTTACTGAGATCTGAATATTGAAACATTCCACTGCGTTCTCTAAGGCGTTCCCTGAGCTGCTGAGCCATGCTATTCAATTGATCTTGGGTAGATGTTTGAGCAAACGTGGAGTGTCTCTGGAATTCTCTCAGGGAGACAGGTCGCAGGTTCTCTCGTGCACATCTCAAAAGTCGATTGAGGTGGGAGATCCAGACAACAGTCCGGGATTCTGAACATACGACTTGCGCTGGCCCACACCATCGTCCCTTCTCTAACATGTTGGGCGCCTTTCTTTTGTCCCAATACATACATAGCTGTCCACATGACCAACTGTGCATAACACCACGAGATTGGTGGCTCAGCGCACGTCTGATGGCTGCGCTATTGTCAGCTTTGGAGAAAGCAGACCTTGCTAGAGCACGAAGTTCAAGTTTCTCTTTGAACCTGTTTGAGGCAAGATCTTGTCCATCACAAGTCAAATGTGCAGTCAGATCTTCGTCTGACACGATTGACGCTGGAAGTTTGGATGCCTTTCCTAGTACGGCTTGCTCGGGACTATACCCTTGGACGATGGAAAGCGTATTCTTTGCATGGAAACATTGGTATAAGGCTTCATCGAATTGCTTGAGATTTGTTATTGGCTGTTCTTGATCTATCCTATCAAGCATTTCTTTAATCACCCCTCCATGTCTCTCGATACGTCCTCTTTGCCATGGGGCCGTAGTGAGAATTGATTGCATTCCATGCTCCTGAAGAAAGCTTTTCCATTCCTCAGATATGAACTCACCTCCCTGATCATGCATGACCTGGGAGGGTACACCTGCCCAACTCATCCACATAGTTTTGAAATTCTTTGTTAAAAGCTGGCTATCTCTTTGTGTTCTTATTCCTAGATGAAAACGTGTTGCATCGTCAAGAATGTGAAGAACATATGCTGATAAACCACTTTGACTTTTCCAATCAAAACCATCCGTGGAAACTTTTTCATTGAATTCCATAGGATCCTTCAGGTTACCTGGTGTTGCCTTCTGTGGAGCATGTCTCTCGGCGCATGATTCGCACTGAAAGTCTCGGGCACCCTCAATCAGCTGAGGAACAGTCTGCATTTCGGCAAGGTGTCGTGCCAGTTTCTCGGATGTTGGATGTCCTAAGTTCCTATGGAGCTTTCGGATTTTCCCTTGATCAGCACTGGAAAGAGATAGAAACTTTGGTCCTGATACTGTGGCTGACAATGGTGTCCATGGTGGTATCTCGGCACAGATACCTTGTTCGGAAGGGACTGTTCCTTGAATTGATGCATCGGCAGGCATGGCATGGGAACGAATCTGATCAAGAACTTCGTCCGGACCAGAATTGGCACCTTGGGGAACCACAGGACCATTTCCAATAAAAATGCATAACATGATATGGCTAGGTTTGGCTCGTCGGTGTTGTTGCAACCTGGATAGGTTTATCCAGTTTTCCTGACCTAGATCTTCAATCATTCGAGAGGTCCTGTGCCAAATGATCGTGTGCCGAATCGGGAACTCTTCACGCCAAATGCTCTCTCCGGCGATGTATCGATCCAGACCTTTCCCAGCCTTGAGAACACCTATGTTGGCAGTTGGCATCATTCCTTGAACGGCTTGAAAAATTTCATGCATGGGATTAGTGAAATCTTTGACACCTGATTTCGGAAGAGCGGTTTGCAACATCTGAAAGATTTCCTTCCATGGAGATGGCTCTGGATTATTTTCCGCACTTGATTCCTTGGACATGCGAGCTCTTTTTGCAGGTGGCTCTAGTGTTTCTACATGCAAAACTGGTTGTTCCATGGGACCATGTTGAGTTCTTAGAATCCCTTTTATGACAGCTTTGGCAAAACCCCTAGGATAAAAACCTGCAAACTTGGATACCGGCATGCTATGTCCTCGGAAAGTGCACTGCCCGGAAATATGGGCATGGGCATGCTCATGCAAACATGTTCTCTGATCCAGTTCTTTCCACATTTCACGGGACGTGGTCTGGATCCGGGTTTTCTTCTCCATTGGATCATGGCTCTCTGGATGTTTCAGACCAAACATGCATTGGTCTAAACGAGCGGGGAGCGAGGCTTTCAAAAATTCTTCAATGGCCCTTTGTGACCACAGAGCTGATGTCCAGGGATTCTCAAGATGAGCATCGCGATTCTCAGAAACCTGGAGCTTGCTAATGAGGTTGCATAACTTAAGATGTACCTGGGCAGCTTGTTGGCTCTGCTGTATTCGGTCAAAACTCTGCAGGCTACGTGAAGCATTGAAGCGGCTCCATGCACACCAAGGAGCACACTCGGGTGCCATCCAGACATGTTTGGGACGATACAAAACGATCCAACTCAGCAACTTGATCCTACCAGCATGCGTGTCTAGGTCTCCATCTTCTTTTGTGAATCTTTTGGCATGAAGTCCGGCAGCAATGGCAGTTTCAGTCAAGACACTGTTGGGGTAAGCATACACTTCTAACAGATCCAACTGTTTACATGAATTCCCCCCCCTGTTATTGATCTTATAGACTTCTTTCAACCATGCAGCTTCATCATGTTCTGAAACGGCTACTTCCGGGTGCTGGGATCGCTGAAATCGAATCGATTTCTCAGGCACAGGTTCCCACTCACTCATCGCAGGGCTTGTTGTCGAGCTGCTTCTTCCAGTCGGCGACGTGTGATCGCGTAGTTGGCGAAGTCTTCCAGCTCGGTGTTCAATGATCCGATCCTGGCGAGGATCCACTGAACATACCCACTGTCTCCTTCGTAGGTTGTCACGTAGGTATCCCCTTTGTGCTTCTTTCCCCAGGTCACCACCTTGTTTCCCCATGAATCGAGAGTTGCCTGTGTGAGGGCGAGCTGATTCTGACTGTTGGCGCTCTGGTTGTCGGCGGAATGACTTCCAGCTGCATGGGAATGGTGTCCACGAAGCGGAATGCCCGCAATCTTCATACCAGACTTGCCTTGACCCGTCGATGTCATGAGATTCTGTCCCAAAGCAATGGGGACCGAAGTAGTATGGACCTGTGCAGCTTGGCTGGTACCTGGTACTTCGGTGCTCTGATTTGCTTCGGCTTCCATTTCGATGGCCTCCCATGCGTCGGATGAGGGTCCACCCAGACTCGTTGGGCTCACTGGGGCACATTGTTGCTGGCTCATGATCAAATGACTGAGCTCTGTGATCTTCATCCTCTGACTCTTGACCTCGTTCGCCAATTGTCGGATGGGCTCCATCTCCTGTTCGGTCACTGTCTCCTCGGGCGACAGGGGCTTTGTCATGGCAAATAGCATCGTGAACAGGCACCTGAGACTCTGGAGAATCTCTTCTGCCAGTTGGCGAAATCCCTCTAGGACTTCTTGGCGATTCGGCATGATTGGCAATGGATTCAAGGCTGAGTCCCGGCGGAGGGGCAAGGCTAGGCTCACTTGACACTGTGTGGACGGCTTCTACGTGATGACAAGTTGTTTCATGGCACAAATCAGCAACATCGATCACAAAGAGACCTGTGGCGTTTTCCTTCAACGGCAGGGAACGTTTCAGCGTTTCTAGATAGCATGTTTCATTGACCAAATCAATCTTTGCCCCTAGGCTTTTCATTGCTTTGATTGATAACAGAAAAGGTGTTGCTTTGGGAACCACTTCAACTAACAGCCATATTTTGAGTTTCCCTTGCACCAACGGAATCTGCAATTGCTTAAAGCTGTATGCTATCTGGTTGTTACCAAAGCGAAAACCAATCCTACTAGGTTTCTCTCTCACTCGGCTGCGAACATTCTCAGGCAATTTTCGCAGGACGGCGGGCACGTGCTCTGCACCGATCACACTTCTACTTGCACCCGTATCCAATATTGCTAGGCCATTATTGGCAGCGACTTGACTGGACACTTGGTTCACCTGTTGCTCAGGCTCAGTTGGACTTATGTCGGGAACCATCATCGTTGGGCGATTCGGGAACGTTGGGCTCTTCCTGGCAAACGGTGGAATGAGTCGGGTTTGCTGGGACTCATTCACTGTGGTCCGGATGCGTTCATTGCTTTCGACCGGCATGGTTTTGGCAGGCAGCTTATCCCCATTATCCCATTTATTATTATCCCTTATCTTAAATTTTGCCAGTGACGGGACAGACGACGGGACATGAACTGAAAGGCTTGACTTTGGACGTGCGGAGGGATAACATTCTTGGACGGATGCTTGTTCGACGAAAAACTATGTACAAAAAAACATGACTCACCATGACCCAGAGTGTCCTCATCAGAAAGTTCGTAATGGACTTGAAGAAGATCTCGATGGTCATCACCTTCCTCCAGAACAAAGTTCGCTTGCTCTTTCTGAGATTCGTTTCGGCGTGGACATTCTGCTTTCCAGTGACCAACTGCGCCACATATTTTGCAGTGCGTTCTCGCTATCCTGGCCAAAAGCTCCTCCTTTCCACTACGATATCCTCCTTTGCGAGGGCCCTTTCCATAGTCACGGCCTCCTTTCCCTTTTCCACGGGAAGGCCAAAAGCCTCTGTGCCGTCTTCGATCCGAGATGCGCTGTCGCGCATCTTGATACGACAACAGAGCTAATTGCAACTCTGGGATGTCTTGCATCATGTCTTCAAAGTCCTTCTCGAACTGCTGAATCAGCAATGCATCTTCGTCACCTGATTGAGCCAAATGCTCCAGGTTCTCCACTGAGAAGATGTCCTCCTCCTCCACATTGGTGTAGTATGCTTGATGCACCTGGTTCTCTTCATCAGGTGGCGTCTCTGTCTCCACAAAGTTGATGGGGTAGACCTTCTTCTTGGGTTCAGTGGACAACACCGAAGTTGCAAGGGTCCTCATAGCCTGCTCCACCTTTCGGGTCTCCATCTCACCGGCCGTCATGGTCAGCACCCTTTTCTTATCCTCTTGCGACAAAGCGCTCTGTCTGAGCAGCAAAAACGCATGGAACTGTTTCACGGTGACTTGTCCAAGCTCGTCCATTGCCACTTGAAGACGGTTCACATAGCTGGTGGCCGATTCATCAGCCTTTTGGTTGATCTTGTACATGGCTTTCTCGAAAAGTTCATACGTTTTCATCTCTGCTGACTCCTCCCAGCTGGCCAAAGCGGCCAAGAGATTCTTCACTCCGTTGACCTGATCGGTCAGTTTGCTTGGTTCTAGGGCTTTGACTTGCCCCCATGCTGTTCCTTTACAAAGCATGGCAAGGCGTGGTGCAAGCATGGGACGATCTTTTTCCGGACAGATCGCATCCAAAAACTTGACCTTCTCAACATATTCACGAACGTTGTCAACCGCAGGGTCAAAACTGGGCAGCAGAGTCCAAAGATGTTGGCTCTTTGGATCGTCAGAGCTACCAGACATGGTATTGGGCTTTCCAGCTTTGCGCTGGCTCTACGGCAGCGAGCTCTCAGGCTCCGCTACCAGTGTAAGTGGAATGACCACTACACTGGTAGCTCCCACACCCAGTCACCTCCTTGGCCTCAAAGAGATAGGATGTTTCGTATCCAACCACCAAGATCTATGTAAGATCACCAGAAATCACCAATAGACAGTCCTCTGTCTTCCCAAAAGAACTAGTAAATCACCTGAACAAACAAATGGTTCCTTCACCCAACGCACAAGCGCAAATGGCGTCCCCGCCGCCGTTTTCCTGCAACACCCGTGGACTTGAGCCACGTATGTTCGAAAGATGCGGCTGCATCCAGAAACCCCTCGGAGATGCACAATCGAATGGAAGACAGGACACTGGCAAAATTCACATGCATGTATATATATATATACACGGAATGTGTGTGTGTATGTATATTATATGCCATCTTATTGCCATTGTAAAGGTGAACTTGTAATATATATATATTATGTGTGTGTGTGTTATATCCAGTCTTCAGGTTCCACTGTCCTCTTTCTGGGTACAATTGGTTTGGCTCGGTGTTATGCCATGCATTTCAACATAATGTATGGAATGAATGTTTGTGGGGATGATGCCCCGACCCATTGATCAAGGATCATTGATCAACTCTATCATACTCTATCCTCATTTTTGCCGGGCTAAAAAACCATAAAACAAACCATAATTGATGGCGTAATCTCCCTGTAACCAACCAATCAACCGGGTGCCAGATTGCAAGGCTGGAAAAATGGGCCTGAGATGGCCTAAGTATTCTTTTTTCCAAACCATCAACATCAAGGCTTTTTCATCTCCATTGAACAAAAACCCGCCAACATCAGCCAAGTAAATCTCTAAAAGACCATCTTAAAATCATGGTTTCTCGGCTTTTTCATCTTATCTTGGGGGGAAAAAAGCACTGCCCGGGCTCCTTGATGGCAATTTTTGGGGCCTTAGGTACCCACCTTCGGTGCCCAGGTCACTACTCAGCTGCTCCCGCAGCTTGCCGCCGCTCTCGCTGTTGCCCAAGTCCGCTGGCCGCACCACGCTGAAGGCCAGCGCGGCCAAGCCGCCGCCCAGGAGCTGGAAGAGGACATAGACGAAACCTGTTTAACGGGCTGGAAACGGCTCTGTTTAACGGTGAAGCCGATTGGCATGGTTAGGCTGGAAGAGTCTGTCTCTATGAATTTTGATATAAAATATCTTTGGAGTATTTTGAAGTTATATTCCAAGTTTCCAGACAGGTCTCTGGTGGTGACACGTGTTAATAACTGGGATTTATATAGATGGATTTAGAACAGATATATCGATAGATCTACAGTTGATGGGATTGTTATGGTTTTTCCGCCCAAAAGAATGGGGAAACACTTTAGAAGTAATTGACCTCAGGAAAAACATAAACCAAACGGAGATATCAAAGATATCTCATTCTCAGTGAGAAAAGGCACAAAAGAACATGGTTCAATTAGTGGTTTGTGACATGGAAGAATTGAGTAACCCCATAGGATCCATGTCTCATTTGGCTCGTTGTAAGCTGCTGATGGAAATCCAAACTCATTCCGCCTGTCGGTTCCAATTCCTTTATACTGCTTGGTTGATAGGGGTTCCCATAATCCATCATGGGTCAGCCACGAACTCCCAATAAACCACGTAGGTTGATACCCCACAACCACAACCAACCAACGAGGAGTTTGAGTTTGGTCGCTCAAATAAAATGTCATCATCCCGTTTCCATATCCCTCGAGAAACAGTTGCCAAAGCCTTTGTTAATGCCTGGCGGGCGAGTCACTGTCCGCCAGAAAGGCAACAAAGACAGTGATGTCCATTGATTTCCCAGATATGCTACTTCTACACCCTGAAAATCATGGAAGCAAATCATGGAAGCAATGCGCATGTCAACAGCTCTTTGGCAACACCCGGATTCTATGAGCTCACGAATTTCAGTCCAGATTCAGTTTCAACTCCCAGAATCGCAAAGCACTTCAGTTCTCCCTTCCAATGTTCATTCTCAAATCACTTTGAACCTAAACGAGTTCTCAAAATTATGGGGGTTGTCTGAAACTAGGGTACCCCAAAAAACCACTGATTTAACCTGTTCAATCTCATGTTCCCCATGAAAATTGCAACTTTGGAGGGCCTATAATTGTCCAGAAATACCCCTGTTGGTTATGTATCGCGTTGATTTGATCCATGTTGATCCTAATTTTGTTTTTGGTTGGCTTGCACTACTTTCAAGATGTTTTAAATATACAACCACCATTCATTGGGTAACTCCATGCACATGTCAGTCAAATCCCTCATCTGATTAGATCAAGAGGTAAAAGGACCTTCCTCTGCGGCTTTCATTGACGTATAATTTGATGGATTCCGAATGGATTTCATCTCTATCAATCAAGAATCTCAATCAAGTATCAAGAACTGAAACCCCTAGTTGATATCCATTCAAAGTCGGAAAATCCGCGTTCCATCCATTTCCCCCATATTTCTTCTTCTTACCCTCTGGTAAACTAACATAACTATGGAAAATATTGGAAAATCACCATTTTTAATGGGAAAATCCACTATAAATGGCCATTTTCAATAGCAAACTGTTAGTTTACCAGAGGGTAAATCACCTTCAAAACCACCATGGCCCCCACGGAAAACCCAGCACCGAGGCCACCGAGGCGCTGGTCAGGTCCAGTCCCACCGCCACCGCCGGGTTGAAGGCGCCACCGCTGATGGCGCCCGCGCCGTAGGCGCCAGAGACGATGCAGAAACCGATGGCCAGGGCGAAATATTGGCCCTTCTCCTCCTTGTTCTTCCTGACAATCCAAATGATGTGGTAGTTCATCCAACTGTAATGATGTATGATTAATGATGTCTGTATAACATGTGGTATTATAATTTATATATGTGATGTGGTAATCATATGGAAGAAGCGATGGATTCCTTAAAGCAAACATCTACTAATTCTTGTGGTCATTCTCATAGTTTTTGGATGGTTATATTATAATGGTTTTAATTCCCAATGGTTCCATGATAATGATGGCATAGTGTATATGTGATGTGGTAATTCCGACATCTGGCATCATGATGTATATATGACGTTGGTTTTGATGTAGTATGCTATATTGTATGTATGATGTGCGTATAATGATGTATAATGATGCAATGATGCATAATGATGTATAATGATGTACGTATAACATGTGGTATAGTGATGTAGTTTATATATATATATATGTTATGTGGGAAATCTCATGGTTTGGATGGATTTCTTTGTTATGGCTTCTGAATTGGGATGTTCGAAACTCTTTGTTGTTCCCTGCTTTCTTGGGGGAAAAAAACAATCTTTGAAAAATAGATGGACAAATTGATGGTTTGGTCATTGTTATTCCTCCTTGTTGTGAAATTGTCATGCTCGTTATTCCGTGATTACGGAAAAAACATGTGGCAATTTGTGTGGGAATTCTCGTGGTTTTGGATGAACTTGTTTGTTCTGGTTTTGGAGTTGAGATGCTTCTCCTTGTTGTTCTTCCTTGATAGAGGAAAACATGGAAGCATCAATGGAGGAAGAACATTCCAAAAAATCTGAAAGAACCATGCGCATATTCCATCACTTGTTTCATATTTTTTCCAGTATGGTTCCATCTTTTCCCGAACAAGGAGGGGAACATCCCAATTCCAAAACCAGAACAAACGAATCCATCCAAAACCATGAAAATTCGTGACATGTGTAAAACAAGGAGGAAGAACCACAAATATTGTTCCATATTTTTTTCCATAGATGTTTCCATTGTTTCCCAATCAGGGAAGAACAAGGAGAAGAACAAGGAGGAGAACATCCCAATTCAACAAATCCAAAAGTCATGAGAATTCCCATGAAATCCCACAAGAAATACCACATGTTTTGCCCAATCGAGGACTCGAGGACGACAATTCATGACTGTTCAAAACCAAGGAGGAAGAACCAGGAAAACCATCTTTCTCCGAATCAAGGAAGAGATTTGATGACAATTTCACACCAAGGAGGAAGAACAATGATCAAACCATCACTTTGTCGATATATTTCTTTGATTCTTGGGGAAAATGGAGGTATGTGTACTTCATGTTCGGTTCACTTAAGTTGTCGTGGCTGATGGGAATATATGGGAATATATAAAGGGATTGTGATGGATTTTTCTGACAGTTTTGGAATGTGGATGTCCTCTTCCTTGTTCTTCCTGATGTTTCTTGGGATTTTGTGGTGAAATGTCATGCATATTGTGATGGATTTTCATGGCTCATGGGGGTTAAAATGATTAAATCAAACATTGATGGAAATACAAATAGGGAAAAACATGGGGAACACCAAGTATGAGTATGATGGAATCAGGCTTTTGTGGAATGATAGTTATAATGTATAATTGGTGGGTGTGAATGTGCTTCGCCTTGTTCTTCCGCATGCCTACGTTGATGGATTTTATAGATTTTCACTCAATGTTCTCCTTCTTGTCCTTCCTAATTTCTGTGGGAATGTACTCCAAAATGGTTGATGTGGTCAAAACATGTCAGTCAACACCCGCATTTATGGGGAACATTACTGTCGCTATGATTCAGTTATACACTCAGTCGATGGTGGTGGTATTTACCAATGTGATGATCTCATCCCTTGGAATTCCACTGGTACCTCTGGGGGTTTGATTTTAAAATCCTACAATGCTACTCCCCCAAGTTATTTTGGAATTGGGCCTCTATAGTCCTTAGCAAAATATACACCCACATTTGTTGGACACATGGTTTTCCCCAAAAAACTAACTACTGCCTCTCTATAAAATCACACCCCTGAGGTGCATCTATTTCCTAAGTGTGAGGTTGGGGGTTTGGCCATCATTTTCCGTGGGGGGTCTATGTTACCAAACAACATGGATAAATCATGAAAAATCTGTGGAAATTGGATTGCACAAACTATCCCCCCATCGTTGTTGCTGGGATTTGGGATGATTTGGGTGAGACATCGCGGCATCTTTTTGCGCTGAGTATCTTGGCGGCTGCGACGTTCAGCACCACAAAACAGAGCCTCGCACCGCAAGGGTTCCCTGGTTTAAGATCCAGAAAATCACACCCCTGTCTTTGGTCTTCCAAAGCACTTGTTCATCATCAATTCCATTGGCAAACATCTTGTCGGATTTTGACTCAGGCAGCTGGAGGAACTTTGAATCTATCAATCTGTCAGCTCCTTTTGTTCGTCCGTGGGTCTAAACTTCCGCGAAACGATTCATGGGTTCGACCCCCAATTTTTCCTTGCCAGAAAAGCATCTCACATATCTCAACATTGGCAGTGATTTAGGATTAAACCCTCAGAGCCCAGGGAAAGTGGATGGGGTGCGTCCTGTGGCAAACAAACGATGATTTTTGGCATTCCAAGATGATGATTCTCCGAAGGGTACATACCACTAATAGAGCCCCAAAATGGCCTTGCTCCCGGAAAATCAGCTTCCATTAAACTCACTTTTGGGTTCTATACATCAGTTCTTAGAGGTGTAAGACTTGGTATAAGAGTACCATTCTTGGAATAAGCAGCATGAAGGTGTAGAGAAGTTCGCACATACCAGCAGCGAAGATGCCTTAGGAAGTGCACATGGCAGGGCCGCAGGGAAAACCAACGATGGGATTTCAAAGACTGACTTAACTATTATGCTAAAAATGGTCTTGCATTCTATTGAATATTTCAAATTATTTCAGATTAAGCCAGCTCACGGCGACCATACACTCACAACATCTCACAACCAATGCTCAACAAAAACAGCCGTTTCACCACGGATTCCAGAGAATTTCACCTCAACATCACGTGATACATGACACAACTCCCAAAAAACACCAACCCCCCCAACCTTTAAAGTCTCAGTGCCTTTTCCTCCACCATTTTTTCCGGGGCGCTGTATCCCATCGCCGGCTGTAGCGGTGCGCCATGTCCGAAAATCGCGGTGGCCAGCAGAGCGGCGGTGAAACCTGACAGGAGTTGGACGCCGCTGTAGATGCCAACCTGGCCATGGCGCGGCTTTCCGAAGTGGGGAGAAACTCACCCCAGATGGAGAAATGGGGGACCACCAGTTTGATGTCTGAAAATGGGGACATGAACCCCCACAAACGGCGAAATGTTCATAGGAACAATGATGGTTGACATTGGTTGACCAATGGATACTTGATTTTCAGACAAAGCCATATTGATATGTTTGATGTGATTACACTGACACCTTGTTTAACAGTTTAACATGCCGTTTCAGAGGACTGCGAAAAAATGTCTGTGATATATCTCTTGGTGCGCGTTTTGGGTACAAAGCTATGGTGGTATTTGTGGTGGTATGTTTAAAGAATAAGCTAATCCAACATTAATAAACCAGGATTGAGGGCAGGTATCTTCGTGATTTCATGTGATTTCACCAGCCAAAAAGTTGGGGAATCTGAATCAAGCCGTCGAAATGATCGGTTTGTCTCTCAAGTCCAAAAACATCCAAAAATTGTGGCATGTTTTGGCCATAAACAGGGAGAAACTTGTGGCTGTTCCGTCCTGCGGAGTTGGGATGTCCGAGGTTCTGCCAGGCCAAACCCAAACCGGCCTGTTTCCAGTCCATGCCGGGGCCCTTCAATGCTTGCAAGCATCCTTAGGTGATCCGAAGCTCATAACAGATACCCTCTGGTAATGACTAATATAGCTATTGAAAATGGTGATTTATAGTGGATTTTCCCATTGAAAATGGTGATTTCCCATAGCTATGTTAGTTTACCAGAGGGTATAACAGCCATCCGCCATGTCTGGGGGATTCACCGACCCAAAACACCGAACCTGGGGTCCGACACAAAACGCCCTGCGCAATGCCAAGCATCCCAGCGATACCGAGACCGCAGGATTGAAATTTCCTCCGCTGATGCCTCCAAGGGCTTGAATTGATACCTGGGATGGATCGGCATCGGGGCGAGTCCAGGACAGTGTCCTCGAGAATGTTGGGATACCATTCACACTAATGTCAACCCCGGATTAATAAACCATGGTTTATTAATTAGGGGGGTACCCCCCAATTAAACAGCCTAGAGGTTTCTTAATCCGGGGTTGACATTAGTGGAACCTGACACTCTTTTGTTTCAGCCGAAATAACCAGGAAATCAATGGTTGATGCTTAGCCTGGGACTGGGGGATCAAAAAGACAAGACAATTACTGAATGCACCAGCTACATTCCCTCCGACAATTCATATGTATACAGTATACACGTACGTATATGCATATTTATTTATATATATATACTAACTACTGCAATAAACTAAAGAAGCCCAAGGACAATGTTTTTACTATCAGGGTCCCTTTTAGAGCTTTAGTTGTTGAATGGCGTTCAGAAGATAAAGAAGAAACGCCTTTGAATTGGACTTGGATACTGATTGCTTTTCTGAAGGGAGACTCTGATCTAGTGTAGCAGTGGAAATCACAAGTTGATACAATTTGGAGGAGAACAATGATTTATAATTTTTATAATGATTTTTAATAGATTCTAAACATAGTCAGATTCTCCATCGCCAAGATATACCTAGGTGTTTCGTAAGGCCTTAAGATCCCCAAACAGCTTTTCTGAGATTCCCCCTGTGATGCGGTCGCCAGAGAGATCGAAAAACAAGGCGCGAAAAGCACCATACCGATGGACAAGCCTCCCGGGGAGACCAGGACTGGCAAAGCAAAGGGGCAAACATTAGTATGAAATAATGTGGGTAAAACAATCATAAACCAATTCCCAAATAGGTGGTTTATTTTTAAATTTTACCTTAATTGTTCTTAAATTCATGCTTATTATTATGGACACATAAAGAAGGCTGTTCTTGGATACACCCTGCAACAAAGTCTTTTTTCACAAAGGATGATACTCTCCATCATGATCACAATGTCACCCTAGTGCCTATGAAAGAGCCCACCTTGCTGGGGACGAAATAAGTGCAAGAAAATCAGAACGACCACAAACGCAAATCGCTCCGGGTCAAAACTGGTTCATACTCTGAGTCACTATATACCCTCCGGTAAATTAACATAGACCCTGGCAGATACGAGTAGGGGTTGGAAGATTAGTTTCCATTCAAAATTGGTGATTCTCAGGGTCGAACTGTTAATTTACCAGAGGGTAACGATATTAATATTGCATAATATTGCACTAAACGGCCCTTGTGGGTGGATTTCTTCTATTGGAAAGGCCGCGATATTTGGGACTGCACAGGACCTCGGAATTCCCAACACCCCAACGGCCTGCAAAAGTCGGGTTGCCGACTGAGACATTGCACTCCACCGTGAAGACCAGCAGAAATGTTCCAATAAATTCCTCACCACCCGGGTCAAGATGCCGAATCTGCTTGGTGGGTTTTAACCATCTTGAAAAATATGAAAGTCAATGGGAAGGATTATCCCATATATTATGGAAAATAAAACACGTTCCAAACCACCGACCAGGAATGTGGCACCTTTTTGAGAATGGGTCTCCCGCCGGGAAAAACAAAAACAAAAAAGACTCGTTTTGAATAGCGAAGCCAACTTTGACAACTCAGCAGATTCCAGCAATCAGTTTGTTGGTCTCATTGAATTCCTGGAATTTGGAAGCATGATTGTTTGATATTGTTTGTACAAACACAACAAGAGCAAGAACTCATCCCCCTTCTGCGGCCCAAGCGTCTGCTAAGCACTTCGTCGACAAAGATGGTTCTGCAGCCATAGCCGCTGAGTTGTGAGGAATTCGGTACCAGGAAAGGAGCAATATAGATCGGTCGATATATGAAAGCTCTGTGAGCCAAGCAGCAGAGAGATCAGCTGACGACAACTGGCCATTTCGAGCAGAATGGTAGTCTGCAGCCGGGGTTTATTCGAACAGTAAATGGATACATAGCAACTAGGCATAATGAAGCATAATTAGGGTATATGTAGATGTCATACGTATATCATACAGGTAGTTCAGGCTCAAGACACGACGCCCATCATTGATGGCTTCCGTTCAAAAAGACCTTGACCCTGATGGAGAACCGCCCTGTGCTGTTGAATTGGATACCATTTTGGTATTACATTCTCACTATTTGGGGGCAACCCTTAAGAATCCATTGTATATTAAAAGTGGCACATTGGGGCTGCGAGTCAGCTACAGAAGTAGCCGCGATTTTGTACCAATTTTTGTGTGATTGTTTACCTCTTAGAGTGAAACATGTTGGGTTTGACTAACGGTTTTGACCATCATTGAACTGTATACATGCAGAGTCCGGCAACATATGCGGAAGATACATCCTAGGGTCCTAGAGTTCGAAGAAACCACCTGGGAGGAATCTTCCAGAGTCCAGAGATGACATTAATTTACTCTTTGGATTCCGGCCCATTTAAGCTCTGAACTTCGGGTGCCATGGTCGCATGGTGTGGATTGGTCATCCTCATGGGAATCGTCCAAGAGGACCATGGCCACTCGATCTGAAAAATCTATTTAAGACCTATGGATTGTTTATTTATCTATCTATTTGTCTAATTATAATATTGTATAACTATATATATAATAATATATAATATAGAATATACATATAAAATAAACAATATACATATAAAATAAATAATATATATAATTATATGTATTAAATCATATCATATTATATTATAGTGAACTATATTATATATGTGATGTATACACCACATTTGTAGGAACTCTCCAACCAAGGTCCAAAGAGCACTGGAAAAAACCCGTGTTTTCTCCGAGATGCCAAGAGCTTTGGACCGTGCCGCCTGAGCCGCAGTCTGCGGTGATCGACAGGTGTAAATATGAGAAAATCATTGCCAATCTTACATACCCTGCAAAAAACTAGGTTTTTTGCTGATTAGTAGATAATCCCATTGATACCAAAAGACTAAAGGACTAAAGTATCCATGTAAGATTGGCCTAGAAATATGGGAAAATATGGGAAAATCCACTAGAAACCGATGTTTCAATGGGAAAATCCTCTGGAAATTTATCAGATATCTTCTGAGAATCTGACCCTTTGTCATGGAGTTTTTCACCATTTTAACTTAAGTGAATCACCTCACTACTAACTACATTGGCCATTTTCCATAGCTGTATCAAATTTCCCGAGGCTAGATGCTTTTCCCATGAAGAATGGGAAGCTCCTTTTGGTATCCAGTTGCCATGTTAATGGTATACTGGTACACTGTGCTCCGGATCCGCCTGGGTTCAAGGAGCCCCCATCTTGATGGGGGCAAAACCCTGAGTGATCAACACCTCACATCCTCAGGGCCAGGCCAGGTGCAGCAGTTGGCGGCATACCTCAGCAAGGACCAACGGTTTCTTGCGGCTCAGATTTTGAATGTGCGTGTACACTTACTTGATAATGCATTATATACATTAATATATATTATATTATGTGTGTGTGCATGCGTCTCTCTGCATCCACTAAACTTCTGTGATTTGTCTAGATAATTCATCTCCCTCTCTCTCTCTCTGTCGGTCCATCTGTTTACATCTCTCTCTCTCTCTCTCTGACCTATGAAATAATGAAACATCTATGTGTGTAGCGATCTACCTATATATCCATCTCTCTCTCTCTCTCTCTCAAACTAGCTACAATTTAGAGACTTTTAGTCTCATGTGTGGGTGCCCAAGGCCCCATGTGCTGTCAGCAATATAGCAAACCCCAAAAAGGTAGAAAAGCAAAGTCCTACAAAATATGTTTGTTGTGTTTGTTGTTTCTATCCTTTTTGGGGGGTTACTACAGTTCTGTAAATCAATCGTTATTTGGTTTTTATTTTGGCATGGCAAGTGCGGCACTTGGGCGAATTTGGTTTAGGGAAAATTCCTTGGAAACAGTTTGATGGGAAAAACCAGGTACAAACCATCTGTTCCGGTGAAGTAAAACAATTAGTTGAGGTTCATACCCCCAAGTGGACCTCCAAAGTCTGAATTCTTAACCCTCACTCATCTGAATAGCACCTCCGGCTGTTCTAATTCATTACAAATGAAACTTCAAACCCTTTCTCAATGTTTGATTAGTGAAATACCTCCTTAACCAACCATTCATCACTTGATTTCGCCAAATATCAAAGATCCATGGAATCCATGACATGTCCAGTGGTTGGTTCATCGGCTAAGGTCCCAGCTATCCTTTGGCCCATAGATCATCGACCTGGCGTTGAAGAACGTTGAACCTTTTGGGCCCCAAAATTGATCAAAATTGGCTACTTAGGGAAAATGAAGATACACCATCAAGATTGAATACAATTTTTTCAGACAAAGATTGAATATAAATATATATATATAATATATGTGATATATTGTGATCAATTGTGAAGAAGTTTGCATAACAAACTATCAAATGGGGGATGGCTTTACCCAACAAATCACTGACCGCCAGTTGGAATGTGGACAGGTGCAATGAGTGCAAGGTGGGAATGAGCCTTGGATATCACTGAGATATAACTGATGTAACCCACCACAGGCCACACAAACATAGAAACATCACAGGCAGATGGGGCTCCCGGAAGGAGATGTTCTGCTTGTATTCGAAGTCGGACCTCGGCAAGGCCATTTCACCATCGGTGCCCCAGAATTTCTAGGGTTGGTATAGTTATAGTTATATCAGTTATATCATGATATATCTACCGTCAACACGTTGTTTTAAACTTGGGGCACCAAGATTTTATATCAGTTGACTGGGGCCCTGGATGGGTCAGTCAGATGTCCTGCCATCCCTGAAAATCACCAAACCATCCGTGATCATCCCGTGAATATTTTTGGGGTCATCATTTTGGGGTCATCTCTTTTTGACCCATGGGTGCATTATATTATGATGGGGTCATGGATTACCATCTGGTGCACATGGATCCGTCATGGGTAATTTTTCATGCACCAGATGAATTAAATTTGTTGCATTTTATTAATTACCCATAGGATCCATGGTGCTGCTATGTATGGTAACATATGGTAACATGGATCCCATCAATATACCCCCTTTATGTTAGTATATATACCAGAACCATGGATCCTATGGGTTAGAGATTCCTCACATCACGTTTTGTATTGCTCATTTGGCATCCCCAAGCTGCCAAGCCGGCTCCAACATCCCGAGTTTTGGCCACGAGTCGCTGCATCAACTGTCGCGCAAAAGTGGCCGATTTCGAAATGTGAAACCAATCTTTGGACCAGCAATGCGAGCCATAGTCAGAACATCTGCGGAATGGCCATCCGGAAAGCTGTGGAAAAATTGGACTTGATTGGAGTTCCGCAACAGGTGGATGCCACTCTGGAACAATTCCTGAAGCTATTTGTCTACTCACTAATTGATGAATTTAACAAATTATATAGGCATAATTAACCCATCATTCAGTGGTAAAATGCCGGCTGCGGGTACTGCCCAAACGTTTATTTGAAGTCGAATCACCCCAGCTGTTTGTGAGTCTAAAGTATGATTATTATGGGTATTGCATTGCTCACCTCAGGTTTCGTCATTCACATGTAACTCTCCTCCAGTTGCGGATGAAAAAAAAGGTACACCAACCAGATCAAGGGTTCCCATATGTTCCCGTTGAAAATCCACTACAAATCCCATCAGAATAGCGTAATTTATGATCCATGACCATCCCAAATTGGAAACAATACCAGGCCATCTTTTCAATGGCACGGCGGGAATGCCACTGCTTGTTTCGGACGCTGGAAAAGGCCCCATTTGGCCGATTTTTTGGAGGATATATCATGCTATATCTGATTCTTCCAGACTTTTTGCTGGGAAAAATATGGAAAAATGAATACACCAATTTTGTTTGGTATTGTTTGGATTTCTCATAAAGGATTGTGATATGATTCTGAAAAAATCCCTATCTTGGATAGATTCGAGATTCGGATAGAAAAAAATGTGGCGGTCAAATTTCAAGACCCAGACCACAAAAATGGCGTGGCCTATATATATATGTGTGTGTGTGTGTTTATAACAGACGATTTATATATATATGTGTGTGTGTTTAGTATTAACCATCTGATATCATCTTATTGGGGTACCCAATTTCGACCCATAGCCCATGTATCATCATTCATCATCGGCCACAAGGGCTAACAATGGGCAGCGCTCCTAAGAATTCACAATCGCAGCTTCCCGAGGTCACAATCGCTCCACGATCGGATGGGTAATGCGATTTCAGAAAGCCATGGTTTAGTGATGTATCTAGTGATGTATCTAGTGATGTATCTAGTGATGTATCTAGTGATCTAGTGATGTAGTGATGTATCTAGTGATGCATCTAGTGATCTAGTGATGTAGTGATCTAGTGATGTAGTGATGTATCTAGTGATGTATCTGGGGATTAATATGATTGATACATAGAACCACACATTGGGGATGGAAAATCAACCGCGGGAGGATGGGATGGCTGATCTTACGTGTGGTGGAAAGGTGGTGCTGTGGACCGCCTTGGGCCATCAAAAGAGTTATTGGCTTTGTCACAAACCCGGGGGGGCACCCCTAGCCATGCTCCAAATTTTGAGACAAGCCATGACGAGCACATATTGGAACTCTGTCAACTGGCTTGACTCGAGATATACCCCGTGTTTTGTCCTTCTGCCGCGCTCACAGTCACATTGTTAAAAATTGCCCTAAGAAGCAGGCCCTCGTGCCTGCGCCATGCGGTGCTTGGGAGGCAACCAGGGTGCAGAGACGATTTTCACCGTTTCAGCACTCAGCCCAGCACGAAAAAGGC